AGTGTACACGAGTTGATTCATAATTTTTTATTCCACAATAAAATTCTGTCGCGTTAAATATAAATACCTTATTGTAATCTTTCTGGCAATTTTGTTCAATTATTTATACGGAATATATTATAATATATAATATATATATATATATATATATATATATATAATATATATAATATTTTATACGAATGACGGTTATTCGGAGAATTTGCCAATTTTCTTAAATTTATTCAAACAGGAAGCATTAGAAGAAAAGAATTTCTGAGAGATATATATTTTTGAGCGTGGGTGTACTTCTTTAGGATCCTTTATGGGAATTCTACCTGTAAAGGAAGTTTGGATAAATTCTTTATGAGAAGGGTCGGGCTACGGAAGAAAGGATTATTCGTCCTTTCAAATTTATCCTCACAAAAAAATACACCTGCACATGTGTAGGATATTGTTTAGAAATTCTAAGATGGCGATTATAAGCACTCGATCACCATCATGTTATACGACAATTGTTGAAATCGTTTTCACGGTGATCTGGTTAATCGTACAATAGTTGAAAGTAATATCCAATAATACGGCCGGTCGTCCAATGTAAAACGACTAGTCAGTCGACGTTTCTTTCGCGCTGCTCGACCGACGATTGTGCAAGTGCATTCCAGAGTCCTGGACTCCTTCGAACCACCTGCGGTTAAGTGTCTGCCACCGAATGATAATGTGGCACGCAGTTCGCCTTCTGTTGCTGCAGAAATTATACGCGGAATTTTGCGTGCGTTATCTACCAAGTGGCCAATTATTAACGTGCAAATTGAGTAGGATTTATTTATCTTTTGACTTTTAAAGAAAGGCCAAGATGGAACCGAAATCAGTTGCGAGCGAGCAATTTTCAACGAATTCCGCAGCCCAATCTCATGTAATTTCTACCTTACATGTTCATGGGCTATTCATCCGCTTTTCGCTTCGCATACGATGGCCAATTAGCGATGTCGGCTACCGTTAAGTTATTCAGATGATGTCTTATTAGGCCCGCGAGTGACCCAAGTCTCTGCGTATCCTTTATATAAAAAAGGTTAATTAAAGATTTTTATATTAATATAATTTTATATTAATTTTAATTCTCTCGCAGAGGAAGAAACTCGCACGTTTCCCAAGAACAGATAACGTACAGCTTTAACATCGCTTAAATTCGAATACTCGTCCGTGATGCGTGTCCCATTTTTCTTTTCGCGAAGGACACGAACATTATTAAGCGTAACCGTCATCCTCCGTGAGCGTGACTTTTGTCGTGTCGCCCTCATTAAGAGCCGACGCAGGTATACCGTTTGTTTCCTGAATGCGGGATACACGTGACGGCGAAACGCGATAGAAATTCAGGGTCGAGGTTTAAGAGACACGGCGTTTTCTCGCCGAATGACCCAACAATTCGTTATCTTGCGCAGTTCTCACGGTTCGCTGACCGATAAAGCTCGTTGCCGACAGACGATGTCACGCAATGAGTGAATGTCGAGGAAGTATAAACGTGACATTCGTTTTCAGAAAGAAACAGATATCGTTCAATTCACCGTTTAATCGCTTCGTCGGTTTACCTTAGCAATCAGGTTTACGACGGCGAGATAAGTACACATATTACATTTTTTCGATTTACGTGCAATATATTATCGCTATTGAAGCAGCATTATCTTAAAATCAATCTTGAGCTTGAAACATTTCGGAGTAATTAATTTCTTGCATGACTAAAATCTATTTACCTATCCAGAGAGATGGATGCGAAACGTGTCAGGAGAAAAATGATAAGCAACATTCCACAAAACTTTCAGAATTCCGCACAACGACCCGATGACCCCCATGACGTGATGACGTGATACCGTATAATTTCGCATTTCTCGCGAGGTTCGTCGACCGATAAAAGCGCGGCTGTCGCGGTGACGATGCGGCCACGTGGAGCATCTCCTTGATGAAAATGCGAGAGCCGAGCAAAGCATTGCAGCCTCCATGGCTGCTGCTCAGGGCGTGGCCGTTGCAGTTGCACCGTGGTCGCGGTAATCAGCATGCAGTTGCATCGCGAGTTTGTTTCCGACAGCGCGAGAAATACCCGGGCATTGGGGATCGCGAGATCGAGGGGAGCGGCAGATCGCGAACTTGGCGTAAAAAATGCAAAGGCGATAATGATCGGGAAATTTAATAAACCTGATTGCGTAGGAACGTCTTTCTCTGAGCTAGAAGTAGCTCTCGTCGTTAAACTTCTGTAATGTCATAATGACAATAAGATGACATTTGATGATTTTCTTACAACGATCGGAGAGATTTTTTGAGAGAGAGAGAGAGAGACTCTTATTCGATTATCAAAGTCTCTTACGTGACTGGAATTTCTCACGACGATATGCTCTTCTTTTCTTTGCCGTTGGCGGTTAACGGTACTTTAACCAAGTATAGCGTCATAGCTTCAGTGAATTTGTCGTTAAGCCACGAAGTCAAGCGAGTCATGGCGAGAATTCGACTGCAACAATCATTCTTATACTAAATTGAAACATTAATAAAATGTTTAAAAATTTATAAAAAACATATTTTTCTAATAAATATTTTACTTTAATTTTGTTTCAAAATTCCTCGTATGTCTCTTTTTAAAAAAAATTTCATAATCCGTTTAGATGTTAATAAAAAAATGAACGTTTACATATTATTAATGGAGTTGGTAAAATTAAAATTGGATGAGCGAAATTAAAATTGGATGAGCAAAATAAATTTTAACACATATTTGCAAATAGCACAAGGATTAAACAAATACTGAATAATGACTTTAATATGCAAGGCCTGGAATTAGAATACCTGGTACATTACGTGTGAATACTTATCTATCTACACGCTAGTATCCATATACTCGTATACGTGTCTATCTACCTACCTACCCAGCTACCTACCTACCTACCCACCTATCCAAGTTAAGAGCTACAAGGCTGGCTTATGTTCTCCCTACCGCTATAATGCCGGAGATACTAATCTTTGAAAGGAATTTTAGGTCATCGTAATATAACAAATTCTCTTCAATTTTTCTTTTAACACAAATATATATATACAATAAGCATCATAATTGAAATCGGCAAACTTTCTAAGCAATTATAAGTAATGATAAATTCATGCGTTAATAGAGGATATTGCTATATATCATTTCTAATAAAACGCATCATTAATCGCAAGATTATTACTCCTTAATATTTCAAAGGAACAAATTAAATTCTAAAAGCAAATTGCAATTTCGCAGCAGCGGAAGTATTTATGAGGCAATATACGTCATGCAATCTTGTAACTATATTTTATATGTTACACGTTATATTTTAACGAATAAAAAAAAAGTATCTCTCGAATCCATTCATTCTTTTTTTTCGATGAGCTGCAAAAAAATTACAAAAAAAAGAGAGTAAAGAAATCCAGCCATTACTATTCGCTTTTTGTCGATTCGACGAAACGGGTCATCAAGGCATTCGTGGATAAAATTCGCAATTGCGATTGCCGCGAAATTATCCTGCGTGGGAATAAAAAATTCTCTTAAATCACTCACAAATGCACACGCAACTCACAATTTCATTCGTTTCAACATCCTATTAGCGTTTTGCGATCGCGCAGCGAAAATCGCGAAAATTCATCGTGCACGAAACTTTCTCTTCCACATTTACGCGCACATTTCTAAGGTGTTTTCTACGACGTAGGTTTATGCTACACGCAGAATCGAACCAGTAGCGATGACCATTCCATGCGGAGAAGAAAATCCGCGAATTGCGGTGCAAGAACTAAATGCGATTGGAAGTATCGGAAAAGGTAATGTAAGAGAAAAGTTTGTAGTATATCTTCGTGAAAAGTGGATTTCGTAGTCTTCTCGTATTTTGCTGCTATTCATAAACATAACACAGGCAAAAAATTTAGAATTTAAATTCTAAATTACATCTGGATATAAATAAACATTTGCAATTCTCGAAATAGATCTCATCGTACAATTTAATGTTACATTGACGTGAGAAAATTAATTAAAGCACGCCTAGAAAAATTAATTGCACAATCCACGTGCAATAATAAGCGTTGCCTTCATTCAAAGATTCATACAAAGAAAATTTTCTAGAATAGAATCTTCTGTTCTTATCTGAGAAAAATCTCTAGGGAATTGGCACAGTTTCTTGCTACTATTTTGATTCACATGTTTTTTGTATTACCGCAAAACCAACAAGAATTTATCATAGAAAGCCCATGTCATTAATAATAGAAATAAAAAAACATGCCTCGTCAGTTTCTTATCGAATTGCAATGATTGATAACCATTCTTGTTTCAATTGTAATCACTCGATTGAATCTTTCAATTGTACAATATTTTTAATGAGATCCAACTTGAATAAGCTTCGTTCCTTCTCGTCAGAGGCTTTTAATTGAACGCGAATCACCGACCGGCTTGTTCTGACGTTTTAAGATCGCAGATGTTTGATCGCGCCCTACAAATTTCAACACGTAAAAGATTTCTATACGTGTAATCACACATCCGTATCTTGCACAATGCATCCGTCACAGATATATATATAATACCGCCATGTTTACAAGGCAAAAACACGCGTACTTGTGTGTATCTTATATTTCAAAATGTCACAAATAATTTTTCTATACATATTTTTCAAACTAAAATATATAAATAGTAGTCTGTTTAATATATAAATATATAAATAATAGTCTGCATTGATGAATCCGTTTCTGTCTTAGTCTCGTTAAAGATTTTATTAAGTCAAATCTTATTAATAAGTCCTATAAATCTTATTAAATTCTTGATAAATTAAAGTCGACTACGCCTTTGCAAAGATCTCTCCTTCAACCGCGAAATCCAGCATATTTAATCTAATATTCGAGAATGTTTTTTCACCAGTGCAACAGTGCATCCCGCAGCGATCCTTGCTTCTTCTTTGCGAAGAAAGGCACGCTCACGCATTGAATACACGCAACTTCGATGTCACGGCATATTCATGTATTTCTCACAAAAGACTTACGTTCGTTTCTCCTACGTTCTACGGTGAAATTCTAGTCCCGGGGTACATGTACACCACTGAGGGTCCGTCTACGAAAATCCGCCGACGATTGATTCACTACACAGAACGGAACGGAACTCACACGCGTGGGCGAGCCGCCGATAACGATGTGCGTTCGCGAGGCCGGAAGATGATGCGAAGGAAGATAGCGCCGTTTCGCATCGAATAAATCCGTGATAAAAAATAACGAGAGAAAGAACAGAGCGGTGCAGAGAACACGAAGCAAAAATCCGACAACTGTCCTCTCAGGGTCACGTAGCTCCTTCCCTCCGGCCCGCCGCTACGAGACTGAAGAGAACCGGGGACTCCTCTCTCTCTCTTCGCCCAGGTGAACGGCGTACGTTACCTGAGAAAGAGTGCCTTCTTCCCTTCCCCGTGACCAAGAGAGAGAAAAGGAGGCAGCCGTGAACGTAGGCGCAGAAAAGGTGGAGGAGACACTCCGATGTCCGATGTCGGCGTTGAAGAAGGCTCAGAGTGGTATCGCTTTGTATTGTTATTGCATGGCCATACTGCGGGGGTAGGTGTACGGTACATTTAAATACCTGTCACGTGGCGGCCGGATTGCTGCAAAATGACGTCAGGACGCAGGATGTAAGTGCGGTAGAGAAAAAGAGAAAGAGAGGAAAGCGCAAACACGTTTAGTGTGCCAGGAGATTTATCCCGGAGAACTTTAATAACGGAAGTCCAAGGAATGTAGACTCCCAAAGTTTGCTTACTATGTGGCATTATAATTTTCATAACACTTTTGGTCTTGAATATATTAAAATAATTTCTAAATATGCGAAATATCGTTAAATTGAATTTTTACTCGAAAATATTCCAAACAAATTTGCATGGATGCTCATTCCGGGATAATATCTTATTCTAATGGATGTATTCTCTTCATGTTGATGTTGATTCCATATTTGCAGGAGGGTAGGGAATCAAAGAGGTAGCCTTTCTATTCAAGAAAACGGCCGTGAACGTAGCACGAAGGCGGAACAGCCGGTGGAACTCGAGTTTGATCACGTCGGACTAAATCAATCCAAGAAGTTCGCATTATCGAGAGTAGATATTATTTATATCTCGAGAGTTGTTACAAACAGTTAAAGAAACATTATAAAAAAACGAGTTGTTTTTTACCACGCAAACATGTTTGCGCGTAAAAATCCTTCATCTCATTAGCTTAATAAATTCTGCTATCGTCTTGTCTCGTAAAAAAAAAAAAAAAAAAAATATATATATATATATATATATATATATATATATATATATGGCGCCTTTATTATCGAATTACAAAAACTTGTCTGGTTCCCAAAATATTATTAAACTTATAAAAAATTGGCAATATTTATTATAATAGTAAAAATATCTCAACTGCACAGATTTATCTCATGAAATTATAATGAAATAATTATACATTTCTACAATTTTAAGAAAGGGAATTATACGTCGAGATAATTCTGTTAAACTCCAAGTAATAATTAATTGATTCTTACTCTTTTGCATTAACACGAATGTTAAAATAGCCACGGCTCGCACGCCAACGGATTAAGTAGGCGCGCGGTTGCAGCAAGTAGGCGTTTCGCGAAAAGAGACATCGATGCTCGCGCAGGAAAGGTCGTCGAGCCAGATCAACGCAGAGTCACGCCACGTCGAGTACGACGACCGGGGCGATGCGGATTTCTTTTTCTTGCGCACACCTTGAATGAAAGTTGTAATTGAGCGAGACACGCTGGACGCGAGCGTATGCTTTGCCAAGACCGTACATGTTTACTGCGTTTTACATACGTCCGATATCTGAGACGTAAAATTTCGCCCCGTTAATTCCAGGAGAGAGCCGCTCTTTTTATATCGGCGATATAAAAATCATGAGGAGATACGATCCGCGTCATTTATCGTAACATCGTAAACATAGGAAGAAGCCTGACCACAATAACGATGTACAGATATTTACGTTAAACTTTTATACGAGATTGGATTTTTTATAGAAAAAAATATTATCTGCTTCATTTATTTTATTCTTTTCTTTACATCATCTATAGAAAAAAAAATGTAGAAAATACAAATTGACATTACTGGGCAATTTTTATATCAAATCTTTCTAGATTAATGTAAATCTTTCCAGGTGGATTTCTTTCTTTCATTTGTAAAAAAAGAATTGCTCAAATAATTGTTAAAATAATTTCTATTTTTTGATGCGCGATCTAATTGTCTTCGTTGAGGTTCAGATGTCACTTTTTTTTCCACTCGTTCTAATTACAACGGACGTAACACTTTTTACCAAGCGTGACTGCGACGCCGGAGTTATGCAAGAAGAGCGAGCGCATCGCCGTCCACGACGCGAGATCCGTTGTAATTATTTTCAACTTTTAATTAACGTCCGGCCCAAAGCGCATTAAAGACGATCGGACGGAAAGTCGGACGGTCGACGGGACAATTTTTGCGACAAAGAAGCGTATGGTGATAAGTGCGCTCCGTTAGCGTTTTATCGGGTCTGCTGCACTCGGAGGCGTTCAACCCGGCAACTCGCTGGGCGCACGCGAGCGAATCTTATTCGCGCGGCTGTTTATAAATAAAACGGAACCATCATCCTTAAGTTGCTTACCAAGCCAGAAAACGCAATCCGGAGGGAGCCGCGTCGATTTGCACAGGCTGCTGGCTTGCTTTCAAGCAATGCTCCGTCATTGTTCATTCCACGTTTTCGTTTTTTATTTCGCATTTTATTTCGCGCAGAAAAAAAAGAACGCGGAACATCTGTAACATAAATTGCGATGAGTCAAGATAATTTCATATATATAAATATTAAAAGGATAAGTTTTAACACTGAGCTTGCGCAAGATACCAGGACTAATCTTGATATTGTCTTGTTCCGAAATTAAATCAAGACAAGATTTTTAACTATCTTAATTTATATTTTAATTATCTTTATTTGTATATTTAATTATCTTATATTTAATTATAAGATTATATTAAATATTATTTTAAACAATATTAAAATAAAAATTGTCGATAAAATCGAGACAAACAATGCAAGATTTTTGTCATAAAGATTCACCCAAAGGACCAAAATTTAAAAGTTTTCAAAAATGCAATGCATATTACGAATATTATTTTATCTTTATCTTGTGCAATCTTATTTTTGACACTAAAATATGAAGAATTTAAACATTTTATATGTATTTTATTCGGGATTAATATGTTGATTGCGACTATTGCAGACACGATAAATTGTTGAATTTAAAAAAATATCATATTATTATAATTATCATAGATCATTTTACTTTCAACATTCGAGAAATATCCGTGGAATTATGTGAATGCAAATACAATTCCCAAACAAAGTAAAAATAGATGTGCGACTTGATGACCGAGTAAAATAATCTTTGGCAATTTATAATTAATATAATTTCCACCGCCGCGATCGTCGCCGCTTTCGTTTGGTTATCAATGCGCGACTTTCGATATGAGACACCGTCAATTATACACTTTCCCGACTTTCTTCCAAGAGCGATATGCGCCTGATTGGATAGTCGCGGACTCGTTCGCGCGAGAAAACGAGGAGCTTCGCTAACAATATTCGATTCATTAAAGTTCAATGTCAGTTCGATGGCATAATAATTCCGACTACATATTTCGTAACGTTATCCCGGAAGCTTATGATGCGACGTGCATTTAAACCGCATGTATATTATTAAGTATGAAGCATTTAGCCGTATCGCTATACCGAGAGAGAAATACTGTCAAGTGCCCATAACAAAAGACGTTGACCCGGGCAAAGAACCGTTCGATTCGTACACTCGTGTCTGAATAGATAAAATGCATTAACCTTACCGTATTCTTGATCAAAATCAGTCTCTTTAGAGATATAAAATAAGTGAAATTCTTTAAATATTCTAAAACTAATATATAATAATATTCCGGTTTGATATAAAATAAATACTCTCTACTAGTCCGGTCAGACTTTGTACTCAGCTTAAACTATTCGTCTGGAAGTTACATATACGAAATTCGACTTGATGCTCTTGACAGATATATTAACGAAGTTGAATCAAATTGTGAGTTAGTTTATATTCCCTAGGTGAATATAATTACATCTTATAATTGGAGCATGTACTTCATTCGAGTCTGTCCCATGTTTGTCGACTTAATCGCGCAATAATTTTGCGGTACATCGAAGATAGGATGATTAGGAAGTTTTGGTAGGGCGTCGACCCTGGCGGCGAGAAACCGTTCGACGTGCGTTGAAACTCCGTTGACGCACAGGTGTAGTCGTGTAAACTCGCCTCGGTATAAGCGAGGCCCCCTTCCTCGAGGCTCGCCTCGCCCGTGTCCTACAAAACTCACGGCGAATTAACGTCGGAGCATTTACGACGACCTCTTTATCCGTTGGTACACGCTCGCGCTGACCGCGCGTGTCTCGCGTTTATACGCGCCGGTTTCACCGAGGAACGTCGAACGGCGAATGAGATGCATAGCTGCATTCCACGCGCGGCCGATCCGTGGCCGATCGAAGCGATCATTACAGACATTAAGAAGCGTATCACTCTCTTTCTGCGAGTTTCTAGTTGTACAGCGAGAAATCCAAAAGCGATTTCTTCTCAAAATCACGTCTCGCGGGAAAGAAAGACTTTAAAATTTTCCCTAAATTAGTTTCCTTTTTTAAAAAACATTTATTGAAATTTTTTTTATAAAGAGATTTTATTTTTCCAAAAATAGAGAAAAGAAGGAGAGAAAAAATTTCATGAATTTTCTCACGTTTCACTGAATACGTAAAATTGAAATTTAATATCGAAGGATATGGATGTCCAACGAAAAATTCAGCGAAGCGCAGGAAAATGAAAATGCGATAAACCGATGCTTGTAATGCATGAATAATATGCATTTTCCTCGCCTTGAACTTTAAACGTTACACGAACGATCGCGAATTAGTAACTTCCTCGTTCGAGTCTTATGAAATTGCATTTTGCGTTTTCCTCGCAGACGCCATTAATATTACTTAAGGACGCTCGGAAAGCACACAATTCAAACAATCGATAATTGCCATTTTATCGCTTAGCGGTATTATTTTTATCGTGAAACGGTTTCTCGCAGCTGTCAAACGAACGTTATGCACCCACGCTAATCGACACTTTAATAACGCATTATTGTATGCCATAAATATTCATTCAACTGGCGATATATATTTGCGAACTCGCGCGATACTTTACGTGGTTCTTTAGCCTCTTTCAAACTGACTATTCCACAAAATTAAATACATCAATTGTTACTCATTATTCCATAAAATTAAATGTGTTATTAATTATCGAGTACGTCTACTTCAAGAAGAGTATCGTTCGCATAATTACAAGGATAATTGGTGGTTAGAAGAAGCGAAAAGTCCACTAAATATTTTACACTTTATATTAAAATTGTAAGATTCAATATAAATAGAATGTCTTCGCGAGGAATTCGATATTTCCGATGGTAAACTTGAGTTCTGAGAATTCGAGGGAAGCGATCCCCGCATATAAAACCGCACGATAAATTTTCGATCGACTTGGTGTTTACTATAGCCCGAAAAGGCGCGTCATGAATTCCTGCCTGTCGCTCGCGGCGGATGCATCCTGAATTTTCGATCGGACCGGAGAGGTTTACGGTACAGTAGCGCGCTGGCACGTCCACCCCGGGAGGAGTAGGTGACAATGACGAAAAGAGACGCCAGTAAGTATGCGGAGGACAGCCGACGACGACGAGGCAGGGCCGATGGAGGCCGCGGTCCGCGACCGGCAGGAAATCGCCGAGGGTATAACGGTACCAGAAGCGCGGTTACACCGCATGCGGACGTTTCGCGTCGCCGACGTCGCCGTCGTCGTCGTCGTCGTCGTCCTCGTCGCCGATAAATATAGACGACGAATCCTGCCTCTTGGTCGTAACGCTTGTAACTATGTAAGCGTCGTCCGTCGCGGCTGTGATCCGAAGAAAGCAGGTGGGACGGATCTTTTCTACGGATGGAGAATCGCGCCGGAAATGGATATTCCGGAAACGGAAGCGCGAGAATGGTTTTAAAATAAAAATTTTATTAGCAGTAGATTTGTTAAAAGCTTTGTTTATGTATATTGAATATAAAGAATCGTGAAATTGGGACGAGCTCGTTGAGCATTTAGGTTTGTATGTTCGGTTAATTATCGCTGAGATTTCTACAATGTCAATATTAGCTCACCTGCTGAAAATTGTGCGTGCGACGATTCGCATCGCGTTTTAACTGGACAAAGATTCAAGTTAAACCACTCGAAACGTGTAGGGTGGAAATTTTTTAAATTGTATAATTAAATTTAATAATAATTTTTTTAATTGTATAATTAAATTTAAGAATAATTTCTTAAAAAATATATTTTCGATACTATCCTATCCTGTAATTTATTTGGTTACATATTAATCGATAATACTTGACTTTATTAGGTAATTGGATCACGTAACAAGTAGAAGAGTCGTTTGTTATTTAAAATAGATGCAATCTATATCTTATCGAGACCTAACGATTGTTGACACTAACGGTCGTTAATGCACTGATAAAATTTGTGACTGATTGCCACTTTCCAGTATCTCATCCTTAACACGGTCACGGTCACTTTATCGACTGCTTCTGAAGAAATCACATGCACAGTTACGGTGTTATAATATTATATGTACGTTGAAATATTTTCTCTCACATCTCAAGTGCACATTGTTTCAGTCATGTGAAGATGATGATTGTCGCGAAAGAGAAAAAAATGCGTATCACTCAATTATCTTTTATCTCCAGCTTAATTGCTTAATGCAGCTTTGCGATTTATTTTTGGCCCAAGTGTTGTGTCATACGTTGCCGAGATAAATCAACATCGAAAAATGATATTTTAAGTAACAATGAGTAATTATGCCCTCTCCTTACATCACACACGTGCGATGTAACCATCAACCGCTTATGAATTTCTCGAGGATCGCAGTTGCGATGAGAACTTCCTTGATCCTGGGATGATTCATATCCCGGTAAGATGCGGATACAATGGCGCGGAATGCAGGCGAGATAGAACGGGCTCATCAAGAATACGAGCCGCGACGTAATGTGGGTAATCCATAATGAGGATTTCATACACATTCCTCAACGTCGCCCGCTTTCTCTGTCCGTCTCTCTCGCGCCTGCACGAGAAGAGATTTCTCTATTCGCTCGTGCGTCTCGCTTCGATCCTTTCTCCACCCGTTCTGCCTGTATTAAGTCCAGTCCAGACCGTCGCGGCAGAGTAATTCGCACCGAAACGATCATTAGTTCAGGTATTCTCAACCTTATTCGTCTTGCGATATCTTACATGTCCTCGTTGCACAATAAATACGTTGTTAATTGTACTAAGATTATTAGCAAATTGTAATAATTACTAGAGTTAACTTTTAATTTCTTTTAACGTGCTTCTATATCGTTGAAATAAAGTTGTACAAAGCACTTGATAAATCGTGACATGATTATTTTTTTTTCTAATTATTATTGTTGCACTTTATAAATCCTATAATATTATTAATTATTAATTTTTTTCAGACGTAAATATTTACTTTTCCTTCCAACTTCCTTTAGCAATACTTTACAAGTGCGAAGAGGTGCCCCTGTGTGGAAAATTTGTCGCAAAAAAATCGGCCACAATCTAACCTGAATCCAGCTCCGCCTTTTACATTGCATTATAACGTTCATTCACGTTCACGTTTTATATAAATATGCAAACGCACGCACACGTACACGTACATAGCGAGGAAATCAAGAACCTTAGACGGTGGAGGCAACCAACAAGATCAACGGTACTCGGAAATTACACGTAGTGTACCCCGTGTTGATTACATAATCAATGCGTCTTGCGATTGCTCATTGTCAGCCATGTTTGCATCTATTGCATCTATTAGAAGAATAGAAGAAATTATATTCACAGGAATAACGAGAAGAGATGGAAAGAAATCGATGGAGAAAGATAAACAAAATCTGAGAGTGCTTTTTAAGTTTTTTCGCAAAAATTTATAGGAAGATGCAATGATTTGAAGAGGTTTACTCTTCTGTTCTCGTCTTTCTTATATTATAATTGGCCTAGCAAATTTGTCGTAATTGCTCGACGGATATATTAATTATCGACATTCCGAGCTCCCAAGTTAGTATGGAGCAATCGATAAGGCACAGCATCCGGCGTGTAAAAGTACGTGCCTGGCATGCTCGGTTGCGTGACTTAATAAGCGATGTGAATGACTTAAAGGTATTTAACCGCGTTAAGCGATGCTCGCGCTAGAAACTCAGTTTACTTGCCGGTTGCAGCGAAAACTTAATTCGCGATATTCCCTGATATGACAAATTAATCTTTAGAAGATTATTTCAAAATATAATTGTACCATTATTATACATGTACAATATATATTTTTTATTTCGGAATTAAATTTGTATTCTTAATTTATATAGATAACCAATATAATATGGATAAAATACATATCATCTATTGAAATATAATTATGACATTATGCATCAAATACTTGTATATTTTTCATAATTAAATTTATGTTCTAATTTAAATACTCGAAATATAATACGAGTATATTATGAAATATATCTTTGTTTATCAATTGATTCTCGTATATGTCAAAGAAATTAATCAGACCGTGAATGCAGATATCAGAAAGTACGTGGAAAGTGTATCGAAAGTATACACATATCGATACAATCAAATCATCAAATCTGACAGGCGTGCAATTTAAGCGATATCGAAATTCTGAGTTGTTTCATTTTGATCTCTCGATGGAACATAAAATAAAATAATTTACGTTTGTTTATAGAACAGGAAGTAATCGCGATAATGGATTATAAAAAGCGTGTGTGCGAAAGAAAAATGTGCAGATTAATGCAACGCCGGCTGCGATAAACGGACGCGGTGGATGAACGCACCAGGAGATAAAAGAGCCGTGTTTTACTCCCTCGTTTTCGCTCCAAAGAATCAGGAAAGGAGTTTCTGCGTGACTGTTGTCAGGGAATTCACTGATGCCGAGCAATGTACTCGCAAACGGGCGGTAGCTTTTAAGATAAAATATTATATACGAAAATAATACCATGTAAAAATACAAGAAATAAAAAATAACGTATTGACAGAAAACATCATATATTTTTATATTTTATAATCTTTTATATGCGTGCGATTCCTTATTCCTTAAATGTTATATATACATTTTATATAAATCAGATTGAATATATTATATTATCTCACACATACATATATATTTTTTCTGTATACTTAATAAAATTTAATTATATGTACGAGTCATTTATTATAAATTAGCATTATTTGAGAGAATTAAATGGAAGGCGTTAATTAAGTTTAAATTCACTCGAAGCGGATATCAACTCACAAAGCGAGCATACAAAATTACTGGAAGATTGACGAACGGTGGAATCGACGAAAGAGGGGCGAGAGACGAAGAAGGGGCAGATGGAATGTAGCGAATGGGGTCGCTGCCGTTGAAGGCAAACGACTGCGTCCCCCAGCTCCTCCTGACAAGCTTCCTTCGAATGTTACGGAACGACAGGAAACGGTGCCCATTCACATTCCCGAAGTGACTAATTCACATTATCTCCTCACGTGACGCACGTACGCGCGCTCGATAGCGACTTTATGGAGGTATTAGAAAATTCGATCGTATCTTTCGAAAATAGTAATTTCGCGATACAAATATTTGAATTTTTTCTATGGGATAAAAAGTTACAAAAATGTACATTTCATATTTTATATACAACATTTCTTATTCATCGATACAAACACGTATACCTTTATTGCATTTTAAGATTATGATATTTCCTATTTTAGGGAAGTGGAAAACATACAGTCGCATAAGCGATAATTTATAATATATTAGTAGAAATCAATATTAAAATATTTAATTCACAAATTATGAAAAATATCACATAGTTTGATGTTAGATAAACATAGACGTAATAAACTTATTTATTTAATTAAAAAAAAATTATTTCTAACATAACTCATTCATTTTGTAGTCTCATTACAACTAAATAAATTAACGAATATATGAAACGAGTGTGAAATAGATCATGTTTTATGTTTCCTAAATTAATTTTTAAAGTGAAAAAAATATTATCGCCCTTCAAGCATCGTTTAATAGGATGTAGAATAAAAATAATCTAATGAATATCTTACTCTTTTATGCTTTTCATGAATTACATGTGACGAAGAGACGGTGGCAGGGTTCTTCCGGTTGGACCAAAGTTATAAGTGGTTTATCATGGCGCATCGTTATCCATGTGTTCGGATTTAATCGTACCATATAAAAATCGTCACGAGACGGAACAACAGGCTCGCTCAAAGTTTGATTTTCAAAATCAATCTTTCCATCTGTATAACCGAGCTTTTGGCATACGATCGTTGCTTCTTCCTGCGATGTTACTGGTGACGAAAAACACTGAGAATGCCATACGCCATAAGATTGTTGCATCACTTCTCCCGTACCAGGTCTACAAAATAATTTAGAACCATCATTATTATATGCAATTATTTTTATTTTATATTACTTATAGAGTTTATAAGATTTTTCATTTGACCTGTTATCTGTCGATTCTTCAATCTTTGTGCATTCCTCTTCGTCTTCGCCATTCGGACAATCTTTGTCACCATCACACACGAAATCTTGCGAGATGCAGACATTGTCGTTTGTTCTGTGTATAAAATATATTTACAATTTTTTATGTTATTGATTATAATAATTTCTCTAAAATTTATCATGTTTTTTTTTATTCTACAATATTACTTAATGTTTTAAAGTTTGTTTACGAATGATATCAAAATTATATTGTGTAACATGTCTTACGTGTTGCATTTGAAGCTAGTTTGTGTGCATTGACACATTTTCGGCGACTCGTCGGTTTTATCGAGACAATGTCGCACACCGTCGCACAGCCGTTTCGGTATTGTTAGCCTTAAGTATTCCGCGCAGGTGCATGTTATGGGTTCGTCCGTTCCGTCTGAACAGTCCACTTTATCGTCACAAAATGCGCTCTTCGGGATGCATTCACCATTCTTGCATTGCAACTCCGACTTTGCACATTCTATATATAATAAAAAACAAGAGATGGATTTATATACAGGAGAAAATTAATTTACAATTAATCAAAAACTACTGAGTAATCGTAGAGCTAACAAATCAATTAATATAATCTATACATATAATTGTATCTTGAATTTTAAATTGATTCAATTTTGTTATAAATTCTGATAAAATTACTTACTTTTAGGTTTATTACTACTGTTTCTAGTTTGTTGCATTTCGCGCACGCACATTTCGTCTTTCTCGTCCGAACCATCTCGACAGTCTACTATATCATCGCATACTTGATTCCAAGGGATGCACTGTCCAATATTGCATCGAACGCCATCGCATGTTGGTTCCGGTGTTGGCTCTAAATCTGTTTCTAAAAATATTTCGTATAATTTAATTGTTCCATCGCTGTTCGACACAGCGATGGAACAATTAAATTATACGAAATATTTTTTTTAAAGCGACAATAGATAATATTAATTAGATGCCTGGATTGGTGGCATAAAGACATTTTATGTATAAAATATCTACAATATGACCAACAGACCTAAAGAATGTATGAAGAAAGCGTGGATGTAATCGATGCTCGTCAAGTTTTGCATGCTTTGGAAATTGCACAAATCGTCGTTTTCGTGAAATACTGCCGTGGGATACCATCCTTTCTCGTTTCGACAGAACACAGTTCCGCTCCAATCCGATGAAGTTTCATTGATCTAAGAGTGTAGAAAAGATGGTATAAAAATTTAATTCTAATCTATATATTTTAGAAAATTAATAGAAATAAGATTTTAAATGGAATAGATATGTAATTATAATATAAATAATCATATTCAATATTATAAGGTCACTTACCCGACATTTGAAATCTGAAGCTTCAACAAAGCAGCGATAACAATTTTCGCAATTTTCAAGGACCGGTTGCAGAAAGATCGATTGTGTCACGTATTCCTTGTTTGTACCGACAGCAACGCATAAATCGTTCTTTACTGGCGGGTAGATTCTGTAAAAATTCGATAAATATAATCAGTATAAATAAATATTATATTTATTATAATAAGAGATATATATACATATGTGTGATTAAGATACTCACTTCTTTTCTATAAATAATGGTTGAACGTAACGAGTAAGATTCGTTGCAGTTTTCAAATGGAGCAAGGAGACTTCCGATTTCACGTTCCTGATTTCATCAACGACCGAAATCTGTTGGTGAGGGCCGTCGACGTAAAGGTACGAGCGGCTTTGTCCAAGCAATGCTGTCGTATAATTCACCGATAATCTATAATTTATTTTTCATTACGCCTTTTCATTCATCGTCGAAAAAGTCGAATTTTTAAATTGAAAAATTTAGAGTGTTGGAAGTGTTTATTAAATTTTGCATAATCTACATTTGACAGATGTATCAAAATATAGTATCAAAAAAGTATATTTAAAAATATATTTAAAGAAGAATCTTGAACAAAGACAGGAAGTTCACTCACTTTATATCTTTCGTGCAGCTCGAGCTGGACAGAAGCCAGTCTGGTTCCACAAGCAAGGCCGAGCAGCGATAATGGCCGTCGACGAAGATAGCGGCCAGCCATGGCCACAGGTAAGTACGATTGCCGGTTCTCGGATCGACGATCAGGTGCGAGTCAACGCTGCTGCTCAAAACCTGTCTGCAGCGAATCCGTAGCGTCGTACAGGTCTCGTTTTCTTCGCTCGCCGCGACGTGCCCCGGTGAAGGTTCGTAACTTGTAATGTTATCCGACTTTCGCCAGAATCTCGTTTCCAGCACCGTCTTATTCGCGACGACTTTATCCATTGACTGCGGATTTCTGCACATGTGATACAGATATTTTTTAATTACAATTTTAATTATTTTATAATTAATTAAAATAATTTTTGATCCAAATATTGCCATAATGTAATATTTAGGGAATTGCTCGTGCATAAAGATAAAAATGCTAAACTTATTGAATTATTACAAATTTGAAAAAGTCGAGAGAAACGTACGCAAATCCAAGATATTCGCATAAATTCTGTCCGATCATCGACGTTACGGTATTATTAGCCAATATCTCTGCTTCGAGACACTGCACGTGCCACGTTCCATCATAATATCTACTGAGTAAACCCTCCATATTTAAAACTGTCTGATCATCGCTGTTCACATTTACATATTCTCCGTCAGTCAATGCAACTGAAAAGAAAATGACGAATCGATGTCAGTTATTGTTTTCACACACACGTATTATTTAAAATTTCATATTATGCTCTTTCTTACGGCAATCAAGTTCGTCCTCGTTCAAAGGACAATCAAGGTAGCCGTCGCATTTATTCATTATCGGGATGCACCCTTCGCTCCTAAAGCAGTAAAACTCGTCGGCTCCGCATATACCTGAAAAAAAGATTAATTATTCGTCGAATAGAAAACGGACAGGATCGCGTTTGATCGCATACCGCAATCTTTTTCATCCGTTTCATCGTAACAATCCAAATGTCCGTCGCAAATCGCCATTGGTTGCTGATTCGACAGGTAATCTCGACAAGTGCAGTCCTCTTCATCGGTAGCGTCCTCGCAATCCAAGTGCTTATCGCATCTCTTATTGATCGTTATAGTTTGAATCAATCTAAAAAAAAGAGACATTGATTTTCTCATATAAAGTTTTAATTATATTATTGATAATTGTAATGTAAATAATTAATGTATTTAATTATATTATTGATAATTAATGTATTTAATTATATTATTGATAATTGTAATATAAATATTACAATTATATGTATAATATTTCTCTTACCTCTTGCATGTGAACGTTGATCTAACGCTTGTTGTTTTAGGTGTTACTGTAGTATTTAACATATTAGAGTCTTCATTAATATCGGTCTGTATTTTATAGAAGAAACGGTGAGAAGTAAAGATGGGAATTGCTTCCGTGCTCATTTCTGTGATATAAATTTTCACAAAGCATATAATAAATATAGATACTTGTAGATTTTCGTGTGTATCATTTTTTAATTATTTTATTAAAAATCACACAGAAACTTATGATCTATAATAAAATTATCAAAAGATAAATTTGTAACTTACGATTTTTCATATTTTTATCGTCGAATATTTTATCTGTTTGTGATTTTACTATTTCATCGGAGTTTGATTGTTTGTATTTGATATTATTCATATTCGATACTTCAGACAGGTAACATTCAATTTCATCTTCTCCGTTCAAACAATCTATAATTCGATTACAACGTCGTTCTATCGGCAAACACTTTCCATCGTCGCAGCTAAATGTTGGACAATTGGCCAAAGGTCTTTCAAAATCATAAAAGGGCTCCATAAAATTATCTGCAAAATAATATATTTAAAATGAAAATATTAGAAAAAAGCGCAATATTTTTACGCGCAAAATCTATGTTTAATTCCCTCAAATCCCAATTATTTGTAATAACATCATAGAAATTATAGAAAATATTTCCGTGTAATTATTTAAAAAATTTTTAAATACTTACTTAACATACCAGACATTTGTTGAATCCAGTCCAAGAAATAACTTATTTTCATGTAAACACCCGGCTCGTTTGGACGCGCGCATCCGTCACCATGACTAACTATACCCGCCACGTACCATATCGCTTGTAAATCAAAATCTTGTCTTCTATGGGAAAAATATTTATATTTTTATAACAATAATAAAAGGAGAGATTTTCGATGCGTTATAATTTTTACCTGCACATCAAAGGACCACCACTATCACCTTGACAAGTATCCTGGCCACCTTCAGGATATCCTGCACAGATTGTGGCCTTATTCCGATCGGGCAAATGCTTGCATTTTGGCAAGATCGGTACTTCCACTTCTCGCAAATAATCCGCTAAAATTATTGTTTGTTATTTATTAGATTATTTTCAATGCTTCTATAATTTTTGATAAAAGAAATGACTTCAAATTAAGAAATAGATTTTAATATATTTTATTTTGTCTTGCAAAATTTTCCATGTTACTTTTTGATCTACATGAGAGTAGAAAGAGATCTTGTTTATAAAAATAAAAAATCAATTAAATGCGATTCATAAGAATATTATATTTATTATTAAACAGATATATGAACTTATTTTATTCGGATTATAAATAAAATTTATCTTACAATTTGGTCCATCTTCTCTTAAGGCTCCCCATCCAATAGCAACGCACATAGATAATGGTGATGGTTCCTCTTCCCATTCAGGGCCCATGATACTTGGCGATGGCAAGCAAACCTGGCGAACCCATCGGTTGAAAATGAACGGTTTGTCCAGCATGACAAGTGATACGTCGTTCTGCATATGTTTTTTTTCGTAATCCGGATGAAGAACTATGAATTTCGCTCTCCTCGACTGACCCGTCGGTGAAAATGAAGATCGTCTGAGCGTGCCAGCTTGTATCTCGTAATAATGTTTCTCGTATCTGAAATTTATCAAGAAATTTTCGATGAAAAGGCATATTTATACCTTGAGAAAGCTAATCGTTTGTACATTCAGCGCTTATGTATTATAAAGTTATCAGCTAAGAATACTTGTTTAGAAACACTTTTTACCCATCCATGCAGTGACCCGCGGTGAGTACGTGTATTTCACTGATAATAACGCCACCGCAATGGAAATGACCGTCTTTATAAATGGCAACCAGAAATGGCCAGGCTTTGGGCTGACTCGCTCGACCGCCGACCACTCGTGATTGTGCCCCGACGAGGGTGTCGTTTTGATCTTGCTCTTTCTTCTCGAACGCCGAATTCGTATCCAATAGCCTCAGTGTTTCTTGATAAAGCTTATTGAACTTATACGAGACGTGTTGTTCCTTTGCCTGCCTTTTGTATGCATAATCGTTTCTCATTGTATCGACAATATAGGAAAAATCCTGATGGGGGATGGTTTTTATGCCACACGGTAACGGCGGACACTTTACGAATATTGCCGTACCCGAACACGATGCCAATTTTATCTGACCGTCTATTTCTTTTACGTAAGGATCTTGAAAGACGTTTTCAGGCACACGTATCCTTTGTATATCCGGCATAGCTCTGTAAAAATATAATCAATATAATAAAAATTCGTCAACTAAAATCAAAATTATTAGCATAAATTTTCATCTCAATTTTTAATATAATATTATCATATATACATTTCTGATAATATTATAATATGTACATAAAAATATAACATCATATGTATATATGTTGTACATTGTATAATAATTAATGACGTACGTTAGCGGTTGACCAATTTCCGATAAACAGGCATCAATTGCCCATGAAGATGTGGCCGAACAAACGGGATACCATTGTCCTTGTACGTTTTTATGCAAATATCCTTGAGTATAACCAACAGTAGATATCTAAAAATGAAATATCATCACATAATTTACAAGTAGAAGTAATAATAAAAGCAAATAATGCGCTCAAGTATAAACGGTGATAAATCAGTGAGATTAATCTTATATATTTAAATATTTGTGTGTGTGTGTGTGTGATAAAAATACATTTTTGCCCGTACATCTTTTGGACTTATGTAGGATTCCGAAAGTATAGTGCAGTCCAGTTCGTCTTTTCCGTTAGAACATTGTTCAATACCGTCGCAACGTTGCGAAAGTGGCACACAACTATGTTTCAGTGGATTATTTGGATCGTAATTACAACTGAAAGAGTCTGCCGGGCAATCTAAAAATTAAACGATTTAATATATATGGTATGATAAATATATCCCGAATTTTGTCGTGCGACTTACCGATTATTTAAATTTTAAACTTATATCTTTGCTTCTAACAATAAAGTTTTAAATATCGACTAAAAAGTCTTTTTGAAGCAAAAATAAATAATAAATTTAAAATTTAAGTGATCTATAATTTTGAGTGACAAAATTCGAGATAGAATCTTTATAATTTTACATGTCATGTAATACAGAAAGATTTTAAGAAATACATGCATATACAAAATACATAAGGAATATGCGACACATAAAATTATAACAGGATTCCCATTGCGCAAATTTGTAGATATGCATAAAGTTAATAATAATATGGTAAATATTATGTCTTTCGCATGAAGCATTTATGCATGGGGAGAGGTTTCGTGGGTAAAGTAGCTTATATAAATGTAGCTAGTATTTAGCGTCATCTGGTGAATATCTATAGCAATATAGAGAAGAGAATATTTATAATTTTATATTTATAATTTTTTTATTATTATTTTATAATTAATTATTAAACGAATTTTATTTTTGTTAAAAATTAAACAATTAATTTTAATTCTAATAACCAATAAGATAGAAAAAATGTATACTCAGTTGATTCCTTAGATTTCTGCTGTATCATATATATTGCTTCAAATTAGATCTATTAAAGCGGTGTATAATGTTTTAATTGAATAAATAAATATTTTAAATAAATTATTTATAAAGTAAAATTATGAATATACAAAAAATTCTATATGTGAAATATTCGTAATTTACCGAAACAACCGAGCTCATCCTCTCCATGTGGGCAATCAAAATAACCGTCGCAAATTTGATCTTGTGATACCCGATCCTTGCAGGAGCAGCTCGTTTCATCGCTGACATCAAAGCAATTAACACGACCGTCGCACCTATTAATCTCCGGAATGCAGAACAGATTATCACACTGATAATAATTTTTAGGACACTTGTACACTGAAACAGTACAACACACAATTATCTTACACAATTATCATATTGTTAAAAGCAATATTCTAATTTATTTTTATTTTCTTAGAAAATTTGTATTTAATGTAAACTTAATTTAAAATTTAAAATAGCAAACAAGTGTTGTTAACGATGCCAAAAAGGAAAGGAGCGACAGGTTAACACTGAAAGAATCCACTTTGTTTACCTGAGTCGTCCTGCGATATGACAGTCCCATCCTTTTGAAAAAGTTTTCGTGGTCCTTCCGGCGGAGAATCCTTCACATTGTCAACAGAGAAACGACCAGATGGCAACGTGTCAGAGATCGACGAGAGGTGAAGAATCGGCAATGACATGTAGCCGCAAAAGTACGGCTTTTCCATTGGCTGTTGATTGATCGGTGATACGTTTGGTGTTGATCCCGTAAGACCGGTATCTTGTCTCGCTACTTGAGTTTGCGGCAGATTGCCAGCATAACCGAATCTCGGCATAAACTGCATCGTATTCGTCTGCAGTTGCATGTAATTCGACGGCGGGGAACCTCGATAAGATGACTTTGGGAATGGAAATTTATGATTTTGCATAATGGAAGGATCAGACGAATCTGGATAAAAGAACGCTGGAAACGGCATATTAGAAGACTGGTTAACTGAATAATCATAAATGCAAACGGCATGTAACATCGTGGGTAACATCTGCAATTGCTGGAAGGATTTCGTGCTCTCAGAAGTTGCTTGAATGGGTTGCTCGCTGCTGTTCTTCGTTTCAGAACGATCGTCCGATGTGAATTTACTGAAAACGCTGTGATCTTTCGTTGATCCTGAAATTATTGTTTACTTTAAAAGTTGCAACTGTTATATTTTGAAAAAATTATTTACGTTTTGCTAATTAATAAAGAGCGAAAGCAACTTCAGAGTTCAGTTATGACGGTCTGGAAACAAATTAGTATTTTTATTTTAAAATTATTCGAGTAAAATAGTTAAATAAACTTCGAACGTTTCATTTAAAGTCGCGTCAAACTTCTTACATTATAAATGAATTCCCGAGAACTTTCATTCGGCTTATATAAAACTTGACGCGATTATGCAGTTTATAAAAATTTCTATTACACGCTTCTACACATATAATTTTTTTTTAATAAATTATAGAGAAAGTATCTCGCATGAGAGATAGAACGCAAAAGGAATTGACTAGAAAAGCAAGGAGATATAATAATTAATTTAGAGAAGCGCATTGAGAGGCAGAGCGCAAGTATTAATGTTAACAAGTTAGTTAGCAAGTTTGATGTCGTCGGATTCGCCTGCATCCCTTTAATTATTTCACTGTTGCTCTTCTATGTAATTTTGCGACCTACCGTTTATCGTTGTAGCCGATTGATTTTCCGGGTGACCTTCCAGCGAAGGTTGCACTGAAGGATACGTCGCGTTGTCATCATCGTTGTCGATTTCTGTCACGTCGTATCCTGCTGGCATACTCGTCACGTTTTCAGTAATCTCAATCTGTTTTATGATATTAATGGTATATCGCGTATTTGCTTCAGTTGATTCGACTGAATAATCGGTGATTCTTTTGGATATTGTATCGTCTTTTGCGACGGTATATTGTGTCGTGTTATTCAACTCCGTTGCATTAAACTGCAGCGTTACCGTTTCACTCGTAATACTTCCACTTTCAATTTGTTGATCGACGTTTGATGCGGAAGAACTGTTCTCATTGATTCGGCTCGTCATTGTACGCGAGTCGATTGTCATTAAATTATCCGATTCTTTATTTATGCTCATCGTCGAGCTGTTATTAATACCAGCCGTATTTGTATCTATCTGTTGACTATTATTATAATTTGTGCCATTAACTGATGAACTAGTGATGGTTCCCGATGAATCGTTTCTCAATGATTGATTCGCAGAATCCTGCGGTATGTTGCTTATAAGAGAAGTCGTCACTTGGATTTTCACCGCTTCCATTCGATTTACTTCCGCCCGTTTAACCTCTTCCTCATCCAGCAATTTGATGGCGATGATGCCGGAATCGTTCGAGCGACTTTGCTCGACTTTCCCAAGGGGGAAATATTGATCCTGCGATCGCATAGGATCCTCGTTGAATTTTTTTGCGATAGACGATTGCAGATTCTTGCACCGCAGACACTTTAAAATGTCCAATACGGGTACGGGATTTTCGTCGCTTAGCGCATTATTCTTGAGCGTCTTGAGATAGCTTTCCATCGTCTGCAACAGCATCTCGCAACGTTCAGCGCTCATCTCGCAGTCTCTTCTCGCGCGTGATATTTCTCGTTTGAAACGCATGTCTCCTCCATTCATCGTCGGAAACGCATCGTCTTCTACAGCTTGCGTTATCTGGTTCGTGAGCTTCGTTTGATTTCTGAAAGATGAGTCTTTATCGATCATTCTTTCCGTCGATCTAGCAAGAAGATAACTTTGCTTAATGATTCGTTCCATGCGTGATTCCGGCTGAACGCGAGCTGAAATACGAATCATGGTAAAAGAGATGACTCTTCGAAAACATCGAAAATCGACGACCACGTCGAATGAATTTCTCAGCGAAAATAAAATACACTGATCTGTTTACATGTATGACATTTGCTAACCTGGAGTATTATTCACGAATATTATAAGAAACACGAATCTCAACAAGGTCATTATCAGTAAAAGAGAGCCTACTGTGCTTAAAATAATACATTTCTTTCCGCAAAATTTTGAACGACTGCATTCGTCCGATTTTGTCTTAGATTTGTCTCCTATTTTCCCTGAAAAGTCACAATAATAATTAATATTATTACAAGTTTAATGTAATATATATATTTATGAATTATAAATATAAATATAATAAATATAATAATATAATAAATATAATATAAATATAATTATAAATATATATATAAATATATATAAATATAATTATAAATATAAATATAATAATATAATAAATATAATAAATTATAAATATAATATATTTCTGTTACACATTTTTCTTTTATATTATCTATTATATTTAAAATTTTTAGCAAAGATTAGATTTCTTTTTCTTCAAGTATCATATATTATAGAGCAATAAAATTTACCTGTGTCTTTCGAGTTCATCAACACAGCACAACATGGTGAATGGATAGGAATATCAACCATCTTCGGCGAGAGTTGACCAAAATGCATTTTATCCGATTTATTCATAAAGCGCACTAATTGTTAAAGAAAATAATTAAGATTGAGATTAATCGCATTTTGTTAATTAATTTATATTAAATATTCGAATATATGCAATGCAAAACAAATTATTTTTTCATATTACTTACTTATATAAAATTTTCTGAACTTGATTTTTAAACTAAGTTTTCTCAAATAAAGTTTTTTATAGCTTTGCCGATCCTTACACTAGATCATGTCGACGACGACTAACTCAGGATTTGACAGAGTGATTCCTCGTCAACGGTATGTCAGCGAAAAATTGCTGACAGATTATTTCGTCTCTTGTTGCATCCGTGTGAATGAACCTCCTTACACGCATTTCGACAAGTGTCGTCGTTGTTGCAAAGCTTGGAAAAATACTGTGAATGAAATTTTAGACTTTTACAAAAAGAGAAGTTAAATATAAATTCCAAAGACAAGCTTAATGCACAAATATTAATTGGTCTCTCATTGTATAGATTCGAGAACTTAAACTCCTTCGTCTCGCAGTCTTTTATTACGTTTAAAAGAAAATTACAAATAACGCTTGTGATTAATGTCTTTCATTTTCAAATTGAATTAAGTGAAATTTTTACCCGCAAACTCTCGGCCTCAATGAGAAACTATTACTCTTCATTATGGAAAAAGTTCCACATTTCGCAAAGTTACTTTTGTTAGAAAAAAAAACAGGTAGAAAATCGTATGATAAATTTATGCATTTGCATAATAATATGAGAAATTTATGATCTTTCCTTCGCATAAAAATTAATTCGAGTATAGCACTCGCAAGAAACACTCAATCCTAGTTGAAACTAATTATTTTTATTGTCCAATACAAACAAAGTAGGAATCGTTTATATATAAAAAACCAAAATTAATATATATTTTTATACAAGTATAATATATAAATATTTTAGAAATAGATATCACAACGGGAAGAATTGATTATAATAAAAATTGATTATAGTAAAAATTTAAATTTCCTCTCACGTAACAAAAATTATTTCAATGATGCTGACATATAAAAAAGGTACCATTCTCAAATATGAAAGCCACTCTCGAAGCTATAGGAGCAAATTGAAAACAAATTGAACAAAAGACGATTGGTACTTCAAATCAATAACTGCGAAACAATCATATAGTTTGCTAAAGTATTAATGAGATAAGTTTCTATCTATACAAGTCATTTTATCATAGCTATTTCATATTGCGCTACAAATTGGCTGGAGATCGATCGCTGTAAAGTAGCTTAAATCACAACACACGTGACAACAGCTTTACTTTTTTTTACTAGTAAATCTCCCATGTTTAAAGTCTTTGTATTTTTGTAATATCCTATCATTTCGCTTTTCATAACTTTTACTTATAAATGAAATAAAATAACTTTTATTTATAAATAAATTGTTTAAATCATATGAAAGTTAAGATATTTTAGGGAGAATCATTTTGCGACAATAATTGATATTTTGATTTATAATAATAAATAAAGCATGAAAGGAAAGAGAGAAAGAGTAAGGGAAAAGGCAAATATAAGAGCTGAAAACTGAGCGATACTAACTAAAAACGCGATGTTATGACACGTGAAATAAGGAAATAACATTAGAAGTTGTTTCATGTAGAATAGAATATTGTTTTCGCTGTAAGACGATATTTCGCATCGTCGCGTTCCAATTGCATATTGCGTACATGCATCAGCATGCAATGTGCTAGGCTGTCATATATTCGAACACTGGAAAGTCGAAGCGGTGCTTTTCTGCTACGGCAGAAAAAGGGAAACGTGATATTTCTTGAAACTTATATAAACCAAAAGTAACGAGTCATTGCATACGAAAAATCTAATTTCGGAAAGCTTTTTAGTTTCATAGAACGCTATTTATAAAGTGTAAACAGCTTTTAAAAACTTTTTCCATTTTAATTAAACTCTTACATTCAATCTCGAAATAAAATTATAAAAATAGCCTCCCATTTTGATAAACGTGCTCCTCTTTTAAATGTATATTTACTTTCCTTCTCCGAAATAAAAAACGAGTTCAAAAACATATCTCGTATTCGTCACGCATGTGACATTTATTTAGCGTAAAAATCATTTAAAATTATTTCTTTCATCATAATTATTAGCGAGTCGATAATTCGATTAGAATGTATCCGTTATCGACAGCAGCACTGTTGGTTGAACTGAAATTGTTCAAGCTATTATAACGGCAATAATTGCACAATCCATCTCCTTTTACTTTCTCTCGTACTCGAGCCACCTGTGGATCGATGAAAGTGACAGTCTGTGCTCTAATGTTACGCCAAGTACACGATCGTATAAACGTATCGGATTTTATTTATTTGTCGGTGATTTGCGATTGTAATTTGCATCGATCTAATGGAAATTGTACAATCGAATATCATGAGGAGGTGCAAATCATCGCAATTATCATTAGCTTGCTTGTGCTATAAATTATGAGTGCTCGAAAAAATCGCGATAAGTTAATCATATCTATGGTTTGTTTGACACGCGACTTGTTAATCACAAAAGTATCATCGAAAAATGTTTTCGAAAAGATTTATTACACGAATGTTAATAATGTAATTCAAAGGGAATAAAATTGACGCAATGTTTCTCTTGTCAATTGTATTAAATTAATTTACGATACTTTAGAAATAATGAATTTCGATTTTAATTTAATAATCGACAAATGTAGCATATTTACGCAAGTGTAAAAAATTTTGTGATATCATTGTTTAATTTTGAAACATTAAAATTACACAATTTTATAAGAATTCCAAAATGTTTTTTACGTTTACGTGCGTTATTCTTAAAATCTATAATTCGACAGAACACATCGCGATAAATTTTGCACAAATTTTACTTCTCGAGCGAGAAAAATAAAAGGAGAATCTTAGAAATCATCACGGTAAGAGAAATAAATCTTTCTGAAATGATTACACTCCGTGCTGTTAAATCAAAACTCGACAAGGAAATAATCCTAATGACACGCGCATTTGTAAGTATTTATTAAATTTAATCTATTTATGAACTCGCATATAAACATAGTTATATTATACAAATGTAAAAAAAATGTGTATAATATTATATAAATGTAAAAAAATTTTGTATCGCGTTGAAAATATATTGCTTCTTTTTCTAGTCACATCACATCGCAATATTTTTCGTACAAAGATAAACATTACAGCTTTGCGATTACGCACGAGCGATTAATGTGTATATTTTCGGTATGAGGGATTTAAGATTGGAGATTTCTCTCGCTTCAAAAAATCGTGGGAGAGACAGTCGGGAAAATAATGCTCCAACAGTGTGCTATGAGCGGAATCCTCATGTTGGAGTCTAGAAAAATAAGATCGTTCGGTGTATTTATATTTTTTGCGTACACAATCCGTATTTTCCGTCGACTATTTACCCTCTCGTAGGCAATATTTTTATTCCTCTGCACTTGATTTTATTCCGAGAGAGATATTTAATTGCACTCAGCAAAGTTATAAGTGCGTTTAACGTCGGGTGTGTATCTTTATGCTTAAAAGAATCGTAAAATTGTTTAAAATATCGCCACTTTATATCCTATATGTATTTTTCTATGTGGATTTTTTTTATATTTGGAATTTATTTCATACACTGTAATAGTCAAACATAATTGTGTGCAGTGATCTGTATTATAGAGGGATTTAAACAATAATTTTTTTCATTTTTATTTTATTTCAAACAATTAGCTAATATAATCAACTAGTTAATTAGTATAATCATTAATTATCCAAATTAATAATGAACAATTAATGTTAACGAAGTATTTGCTTTTTACATACTGTTATATAAACTTTGTTCTAAGTTTTGTTCCAAACTTATTAAAGATTCTTTTTTGGATAGTAGTTATTATTATGTATCAAATCTACATTATTTTCGTTTAGATTATTACGTCATTATATTAATAAATTGGAAAATATATTCTTAGAGATAAAATATGTTACCGATTATTACCGCGGCACGTGTCCTACTCAATAAAGTATAAAAGATTTAGTCTTAAGCCTCAAATTAAACTCGAGTGGGAGCTCTGATAATTAGTGCGGCTTATAATCAAATTTATCTTTCATCGACTATGTTACTTTATCGCAATTTAGCCGTACTTCAATGATAACTAAGGGAGTGAATTTTATATATTACATAAAAGTTATTTTTTTCTTTTGAATAAAATTTGATTAAAATTTAATTAATTGCTCTAGTAACATTCAAATCATACATAATATACTTTTTCGTCAGCGCACATTTTGATCACGACACGATTCCGTAACAATTCTTCCTCTAATCACAATGATTGATCCACATCAATCTGTGTACTTATACGTATACGGTTCTCATATAAGTATTGTGTCAAGGCAAATCGAGAGAACCAAAGGCACAAAAGTAAGCCGACAACACGAGAGGATAAGCATCTGCGGCATGTGAGTGTGCACATGTGTACGTATGTGTGTGTGTGTGTGTGTGTGTGTGTGTGTGTGTGCATCTGAATAAGAATAGCCGTAAAATCGTTTCCGTTTCCCCTTCTTTCTCGCCGCCGACCATGTGAGTCCCAACGTTGGGTTTGGTAGGCGAACGGGAGTCTTCATAGTGACGGGCCGGTGATGGTATGTTTGTGACGCGGTCCCAACTGACGGCTTCATATGCTCCCTTTTCTTACCGCCAGACGTATCCAACAGGATCAACCGACTTCTCTCTGTGACACGGTCGCCGTCCGAATCTCTCGATCGGAATCGTTTATCTCGTGTCGATGTTTCAACTAACTGGTGCGTGTTTCTTTATATTGGTCATAGTGCGAGTCTTAAACAGTACGTGAATTCCACGTAAACTAATCATACAACCGGCAGTGTTACATTTGCCTTTGTTCTTGATACCGCTGATGACGATCGCAAAGTGGCAGCATTTTCCCTTCTATGAAATCAAGAGTGTGCTGATTTGGTGATGATCTATTTATCAATATTTATTTATATCGCAAAGAAATACAGTCAGCATTGAGTGAATTATTAAGTGGGTTATTAGTGCGCGATTTAAGAAAAAAGTAATTAAAATCTTGTCATCCTTTCATTTATAATTATATTTTATGCTTCAGGTAAAATCATGAGAGAAAAATATTCTCTTTGAGATAATTATTTATTATTAGTAACTCTTTCTCTTTTATCTTTTCATCGATATTCGATAAATTTATATCATCGTAGCAATCTTATCACAATATATATGACACATCTATATGATTAGAGTACAAATATTAGTATTTAAAATGTATAATCTACTAAAAGCATTACATTTTATTTTCGAATAACATTCAAGACAAGAATTTGAGAACACAGACGTCACGAGTCGTAAATGTTCAAGGATAAAATATCAAAAATATTAGATATAAATATACATGAAATATATTTTCGAGACAAAACATGATAGTTGAAAAAGAAAAATAAAGTGGAAAAATGCAGAATTTTGAAACCTCCAATAAATTCTCTATGATTGTTTTATATATATGATGTATATATGATGTGATACATTCCATTAAGACTGTTTTTTTATGAACATCATTTCACATATGTTTATATATAATATTATATAAAAAAATCAAAAGATGCAGAATATGTTTTTTCCTTTTATACATATTTAAACCGTTTGTAATCTTTTCATTTTTTATTATCATAATATCAGTTCTCTTCTCTTTTATTTTTTACTAAAGATGGGTTAAAAAAAAGATTGAAACAATTAATGACAAAGAATGAACAATTAATCGTTGACAATCAACAATTAACAATTGACCATTTGACAGTTAAAGAAGGATTTTTAAAAAGCACAATTAATTTGCGCCTTAATTGTGCTTGGCTCTCATTAGTCTATTTAAATTTATTTATTTAATAATATTAGATCCTTTTGTTATTTACTTGCTATTTATAAAATGACAAATTTAAATTTTTTTGGACCAACGTGTATATTTTATCTTTAAATATAGAAGCTAAAAATGAGTAAAATATATATAAAAAATGTAATGCAATGCAATTGTAATTATCTTAAGATATAAAAAAATGCTTAAGATATAAAAATTGTAATTATCTTAAGATATAAAAAAATGCAGAATCATATCAGGAATAATGTTAAGATGTTTCGTGAGAAGTGAAAGTTGTCTCCCGTTAGATCATCTTGTCGAAATTTAACAGCATTCGACTTTTACTTTTTATCTCCAATAATTTGATAGTTTAAGAAACAGTGATTTTAATATTTTAATATAATAGTTTAGACATCTGGTGAAAGTCATATGAAAATTACTTAATAATTTATAATTTATGTTAGCAACGCAATCGCTTCATAATTTCAAGTGGCGCAGTAGGTCACAATTGAGGAGATCAACGTCCTCTCTGGAGAATAATTCTGTGTCTGATATATAGACACTATCTGCATCTTTCATTTAATTATAACGCCTTCAATAATCATTGACCGTTTAATTAATCGGCGATAATAAAAAAAAAACGCTCAGAGAAGTGACAGAAATGATTTAGCGGAAAGTTTAGAGATAATGTAAGAATAACGTTAAAGAGGAAATAGCTTTAAGGTCGCATTGGAAGGTGAATTGGCTGAATTGGAGTACTAAATTGTTGTAATTGGGAGTAAGCTTAAATAGCTCATCTCTAGAATATATTTAATCAAAATATATGAAGAAAAATATGAGAGTGTAAATTGAATTTGTTAACTGCAATATTTTATCTGAACTGTAAATCTTGGAGTTTATAATAAATCTTACGAGGAAACTTAAACTGACTGGTATCTGTTTGTAATTCATGCCATAATTTAAATTTATGCAAAATACAAACTATAGGAGATAATTCAATGCAGGATGAACTGGGATTCATTAATATGGTCATAAAAGCGCGAAAATTCTATTGAGCATTGATTCTAAGATAAGAGATGTTATATAAGACATATTCGTAAAATATTATCGCAGCACTGTGCACTTGTCATCGGTTCGACATATTTTATTCTAATATTTGACGTCAATCACAGTTTTAATTTATAATTTTCAACATCTAGTCAAATTCGGTTGAAAGAACGATTTATCGCGACATATGCGCTTAATTTACAGAGAGATTTATTTTTTTCCTTCAATTTTTTGTATACTCGGTTTTAGTTTATCGATGATATTTTTAATATAATATTAATAGTCGATATGAAACTGAAAACATGTTTTTCATTTTTAGCTCTTTTGAACTTCCTACGCATTCAAATGATAGATTATGTAAAGGAGGTTTTTATTTTGAGAGAAAAACACACACACTCTCTCTCTCTGTAAAAAATAGAATATTTAGGAATATTTAATTTAGACACACACACACATACATATATCCCAAGTCAAAATTTAAAATCTACTATGAACCTCATACATGGTCATTTGTGCTTTCGATAATACTTGACCTAATTCTATCTTGAGTTTGCTAATATCTTCTTTCGCCTCTGTTTAATCTTGTGGTCCTACAGACTTTCTATTTATCGATGTTCTATTTATCTATTTATCGATGATGGATATATAATTCTTCTATTTTCATTCTTACAATTCCTACCTCTTTATCTCTTTTGAATCTTCAAATTTTATTGATATTTCGAGCAGCAATAAAAATACATGTATTAATACTCGATTTACAAATCAAAAATAATTTTTTATTATTTCAGACTAATGCAATTAATGTTAAAATAATAAAATGGACAATATACGTTAAAAATATATTTTATTGCAGTTGTTTTCGGTTGATAGGTATTCCTACGTACATTTGATTATCGATCTTCATACGCAAATACATTTTAAAGTTTCAATAGAAATAGCTATAAAGTTACCTGTTTTGTAACATTTTTATAAAAAAAGTTAATATCGATTGTATAAAAAAAATTAATATCGATTGTATTATAATTATCACAAACAACCAATGCATTATTAATCATAATTTTTTGTGCAGTCACGTAATGTCTTTCTTTGTGTTCACATTGACAGAGTTCTTTATTGCAATTCTGATGAATAGTTTTAATAAAGCATTGAATTGCTGCTGATACTCATTATTTACGTATATGCACAACAAAAGATTCAGTCTGTAATCTGCTGAAATATACTTTACACATTTGTGACTTATGTAACTAATCATTTTTTAATCTAATAGTGCTATCATATGAAACAGTATTGTATTCTATATTTTATTATGTCGTATATTCTAGCTATAATTTGAATTGATTATTTAATATTCCATACGCTCTACTTGTATTTAATACATATCTTTCCAATAAGTTATGTAATTTATTTAATTATAGATAGAGTATATATACAATAAATAAATATTATATTTTTTAATATTTGCTTTTCACACATAATCTATCTAATTAAGCAAATTATATAATTAATACATTGTTTAATTGAAATCATGATGCACATTAAATGCAAATAGAATATAAGAAATAATGAAATATTAAATAATTTCTAATATTCATTTCAGAAATGTTTATAGCACAGAATTTAGAGCCTTTTTAGAAGTTCTTAGTACTCTTTTGATTTTTCACATGGAAAAAACGGAAATAAGAAACAATTTGTAACAACAAAGAACGGCAATAGCCAAATGTAATGTGTGCATTATAAAAGCTTACATTGGTTCTCCAAATTCAATACAACTAATCAATATTCTATAATCTAGAATAAAAATTTCGACTCGGGATATATATTATTCTCACGGAAGTTTTCTGAGAATCTTTGAAATAAAAGAGTTAACATTTCACATGCAGTGCCTATTAGTCGACTATATATAAGGAAAAGAAAATACATTGTATAGAAGAAACAGTTAATTATTTCTTCTCTAATTAACGTTATGAAACTTCATATGCCTTCCGTATAGTATATCCGTATAGTATTTCCGTATAGTATATTTCCCAAGTGAACTTATTCTTAACGTAAACTAAATGTTTAACTAGTGCATATCGCTTTTATATTTTATCAGTAAGTAATTTTGCTTTTACATTTTATCAGTAACCAATTTTGTATTATTATATGCTCGATAAGGCATCATTTTATATTTTCATATATGCTAATTCACCATGGTTTTAACTACTTCAATTCAACTATAAAATATGCGACCACATATGTAAGCGAAATTTAAGGTATTACAAAAAAATTTATGCCGATTTCTTCATTTTCTCTGAATTTCTTTTGAAATTCAAAATAATGAAAGTAAGAATTTAATAAATAAATGAGTGCTAGAGATAAAATATTTGTAGCTGTAAAATAAAATTTGTACATATATTTCGCGCGAGATATTGGATCAGGAAGATAAAATAAAGAATTTATGATTAACATTACATTGAAAAATGATATTGCCATTACATGATTGTCAAGATTCTGACAATTATTTAAGAAAAGAGAATAATGAAAATTTCAATAGATGACAAATACTCCAACACACACGTAATTGTGTGATACATCTATATCAAAATGTACGCAGATAAAATTCTACGAATTTTCCACGCATATTCGACATATTTATAAACACATATTTTCCGAGGCATGTGTGACGCTCATTAAAACACATAGGGAATACTGATCTCATTCCTATATATACTCTTATAAATGTGCCTTGTGTATTACTCATAAAGCGCATTACATATATACCTTGTTATCGATAACACACTCGTTTACAGCAACTAACATATCGCACGTGTCATACAAGGTTCGATCTTAATAATATATATGCTTATTACTTTTTTTCAAAACAACAGGAAAGATAACAATTAGTCACTCCTCATTTTTATATATTTGTAGAATTGTGTGTTTCTTGTAGGCGTTTGTGTAATATTTTCTATATAATATATGAACATTTTATTGTTTTCGGAATTGACAGTTTATTGACCGATATTATTTGTGAGATCATCTCTTAAAATATTCTCGAGAAATACTCTCTCAAGAATACTCTCTTCAAATGTCAAATAGAGGGAATATGTAGTAGAACGGAATTCTAAATTCTATAATAAACTTGTGTGCATCTTTTTATATATTTTTAAATAGTAGTTTTCTCGTAAAAATGATTTTTATTACAGGTAACAGCAGCGTTATAAATTAAGCCTTAAAAAGTGAAGTCACGTAACGTTAAATTTATTCGTGAAAGTTTTATTTATGTTTTCTTCTTTTTTCATCGTCAAATACCACAGATCAGTGAAAGTCGTTTCGCATTGCCACTGATTGTCCTTGAACCGTGATGCTGTTTCAATATCCTTCTCTTCTCATTTTAATTAGCGATTGATGAAATGTGCGTAACTAGCGAGAATAATAAATACATTGACATACTTGAATTAGTTAATTACTCACATAAAATATCGAATATCGATATTTCACGTTTTCTCTGTGTATATATGTGCATAGTAATTATTTCTGATAATTATATTTAATAATTATCTCTGAAATAACACGATGAGCTTATCACAATATTTTCCAATAATACACATAATGTTTCAACTGAATTCTCGTAACATAATAAATCGATTTAGTGTAAGATCTTTCTCATACGATTTCCTAGAACAGTTATCGCACACGACAGAAATATGCAATTAAAAATTCTTATCTGCAATAATGACACACATTTTACTCGGATATCGTGTATATTTTGACAAAAGAAATATCTTGATTGTAAGGAACGATTGTTTGTTGATTGTGAACGATAAAGTTCAAATATTATCGCTGATAAAATTCTCAATCATTCGAGAGAAGTATTGAGTTACTTGTTCATTTCGTTCTCTTCTTTCAGTCCGATCAGCCAAGAGGCTCACAAAGCTGAATGGATTCTTTGGTGCCGTTGCTTCTAAAAATTCGGGGTTTATTTACATTATGGCTCCTCTTGCTGCTATCACCCGCCATTCTTGCCTCTTACAGTATTGGTGTCGGAAGAGCTGACAGCACAGGACCTACAGCAGAAATTGTTTTTGTTAGTATATTTTAAAGTAACAGAATTAAATCTTGAATAAGAATAAAGGAAAAATTTATTTTAATGAAATAATCTTTCTTCCTTTCTTCTTCTGATATTTCATAATGGGAAATAAAATATTACAAAATATATTTAAACTATTATTAAGGATAAAGATGACAATATATATTCATTAAGTTAAATTGAGAAAATAAAGAAAAACAAGCGATAATGAAAATAAAACAAATAGATCGAATAGCTGTTACATATACGTTTCAGATGGGATATGCGAAAATGGATCAGAAAGGAAATGGTCTGCACCTCCGGACGTTTTCCAGAGCTTTCATAATTGATGATGGTGAGGAAAGATTCGTATTTGTGAGTGTGGACAGCGCGATGATAGGCAACGACATCCGACAGGAGGTATCATCTTTATCATATTTATTACATTTTCTTTATCATATTTATGTACATCATATTTGTTTTTGATCATATGATATTATAATAGAAATGTTCCATTTCTAATACATTAATTTTATATATGAATAAAAGTGAATGAAAGAGCTGAATATTTAATATTTCTGATATTTAATATTTCTGAATATTAATATTTTTTTAGCAATTTTTATTTTATTTGTCAGAAGCATATAACGTATAAGTATCTGTTAATTTATTTTTTTATTTCCGCATATTATATAGTACAAAAATCAAGTATTGTTCATCTTTCGACGCATCTAATTGCATATAAATAAATACGCAATTTATGTTTCACGAAAACATGCGGTTTTATTGCAAAACAATTGTTATCATATGATATTAATCGCGATTTTTTATCGCCGCAGGTATTGCGCAAATTGCAGATCCAATTTGGTAACATGTACACGGAGAGGAACGTGATGATTAGCAGCACACATACACACTCGAGTCCGGGTGGTTTCATGCTCGACGTGCTCTTCGATCTGACCACATTCGGCTTCGTCAGGGAGTCGTTCGACGCTATCGTCAATGGCATAACGAAGGTGAATCGATGCGCAAACAATGATTGCACGGGCGATTCGCTTGATTAAAGACAATAACAGATAATGATCGATATTTATTTCGACATTGCAGAGCATCGAACGTGCTCACGATGCCGTTGTACCTGGGAGGATTCACATTATTCACGGTCAAGTTTTAGACGCCAATATTAATAGGAGCCCGCAGGCGTATCGTAACAATCCGAAATCAGAAAGAGATAAGTAAGTGATAAAATGATTGCAATTATTTCAAAGGATGAACAAAGATTTTTAATAAAACATCTTAATGAGAACATCGATAAAAGTATCCTCTATTTTTAAAGAGCCAAGAAAATGTATGTTCATTCATAAATTTCTCCAAATTCTTAATTAAACATATGTAGAGACGGATAATCGCATACACATGCTATCTGCTAATTAATTTCAAGCGATGCAAAGTCTTTTAATACAAAAAGATTATTATATAATTATTACGGATAATATTACGATTACGAGAATATATTATGCAATCATTATGATTGTAGATATAGCAATATGTTCGGATAACGAGCGATTAATTCAAGCTGCAATTGCTTAGTAAGGGGATTGCAAAGTGCATTAGCCATACATTGAATATTCGAGCTATAATTCTCAGAATACTCAGAGCATTCGTGTTTATTGCGTGTCACACCATGTACAACATATGTATGTCGACACGTTTGCGAACCATGTAAGCGCTTGCATTCTCGGAAATGTAATATGCGGACGTCCGCTTATTGACAGATTCTGTTTCAATAAATTGATCCTTTGAAATATTTGTCGTCGGTAATGCGCTTTTTGGAAGAAGCATGAAAGATTAATATTTTTTATTCTGTTACCAGATACGAGTATGACGTCGACAAAATACTAACACAGATGCAATTTATTGGAGCCGACGATAAGCCCCTCGGTGTTGTAAATTGGTTTGCCGTACATCCGACTAGCATGAACAATACCAATCGCCTGGTCTCCAGCGACAACATGGGCTATGCATCAATTCTCTTTGAGAAAATGATGAATAATAATACCGTGATCGGCAAGGTAAGTCTCTGTTAACGGATAGACATCGCGACGGTATCATTATTGACACTATACACAATACGAGAATTATATTGGCAGTCTGTATATAGAAAGCGCGTCAGTAATATATATATACAGAGTGTCTTAAAGAAAATTGTTGAATCCATAATCATTTTTAATTACATATCAGAGAGCGAGGAAGGTAAAACATTTTTTAATAGTAAGTATTTTTATTTTATTTACATTAAGAACAAAATTGGAGATACTTTTGTCATTAATAAACATTTATAAAATATGCCAAATATTGATGTAATCTTTTTCAGGAACGTTAAAGAATTTTATTTATTTTATATAATATCTCATTTTTAAAATGTTATTTATTACGAAAGAGATTTGATTCCTGTTTCAATTCTGATGGTACTTGGAAATATATATCAATATCTTATACAGGATGATTCAAAAGATAATATATAAACTTAAGGATGTTTTGTATCTATTTTCAAAATATTGAGAATTTAATGAAAATTGTACAGAATGTCCTTACATATGTTTAGAATCTTCAGTACAATTTTTAAATCGAGTCACTAAAGCGTTCACAAGTTATAAGAATTTTAATTTGCACCGAATTAATATGTGTTCTTATGGAAAACGTATAACTACGTCGATTCAAATGACAAAAACACGTGGAAATAATATTCAGAATTTGTTTAAAATTTGCAAAAGTTTAGATACAGAGGAAATATTTGGTCAAATAATATTATACAAGTACTACCTGGTTAAAAAGATATTAAATATAATTTAATGAAGTTAGCCATGTATCTGTCACAAGCGAAATTCTCTGCCAAAAATTAATCATTTTAATTAACAAAATTCGGAATATTTCAGTAAAAACGCATTAAATATTAAAAAATACATCTCTGCACTGTAGTTAAGATCAAATTGTAATATTCCACACAATTTCTCATACTCAAAATACACCATAAGTGGATATTTGTCAATATTGATTTTCAGCTACTTTTTGCTAGGATTGTACATACAAAATATCCTTAAGGAAAATATAGAATATAACAATTTTTGAATAAATCATCTCCGAATTTTGAATCAATAAAGTACAAGCCTGCGAGAGTCAGAAACTAGATTACGGACTGTCAATGAAATAATTTATACTAAAATTATAAGTGGACAAAGATTACATGAACTTAATAAATGTAATATTACGAAAAATGTTTAAATTGGATAGCAATCACCTTATGTAATGCCGGCATTTTATCTTTGATCGAAACTCTGATGCACTCTTTTAAATATACTGCAAGTATATGCTAGATCATGATCACGATCAGATGCTGCATTTTGAGTATTCTGAATAAATATGTTTCTATGTCATCTACAATCAACTCATACTATATTCGTAATTAACAACTTTGCAAAGTACGATTACATATACACTGTAGTTCCTTCAAAGTTTTGCGCTGACTCAAGGGATCACGGTTCTTATTTAAAAGTTTTTTCCGATCCGTTCACGCTCTTTAAATTTATTCAATCTTTTTAATCATCCTGTATATATCGATTATCGAATTTGCATTTTTTATAAACATTTATTAAATAATAAAAATATCTTTAATTCATAAAACTGCCAAATGTTCTCAATTAGAAGATATTTTACTTTCTGTACATCGTATTTTTGCATTTAAAAAAGTAATGGAATAATTTCATAAATTTCCATGAGACACTCTGTATTATGAATATTGTGTAAAATTTATAATAAAAAAAATGTATGCGTTTGTGGCAGATCTTAATGAGATTCGTGCGAAATTAAATACATGAATGACGTTTAGATAAATGTGCACACTTATAAATTTTGCAGGTCGCGTGCAGATAGTAGTTTACGAGCTTCTCTGTTCTTTTTCTCTATGTACATAGATGATTGCATGCTTCCGCTATTATTATCTTCTTTTTTTGCTATCAAACTGATTCCATTCGTCTTTCTTGTTATATTGGCAATGCATACTCTGCTTGTTTTTCTCTGTTTTCTCTCTTTTTTTACTTGACATTATTAATCTTTAAATGCTGCGTAATTTGCTGAGTAATTTGCATTTACATTTCAAACATTAATCGGAGTTTTAATAAAAATTCTCGTATTGTTCGATGATAAATTGCAAAAATATGAACCATTGTAATGCAAGCTGCTTATTTCATATAAGCGTATTACGAAACTATGAATTTATTTTATACGGCATTATACGAAATCCTACCGAAATAAGAGTTAACGTTACTTTATTTTCATTAGAAGTATAAACTGGATCTCCCATTGCGTGGTATAATTAAGTTAAATAAACAGGGGTAAACAGTATAGTGATTGGCCACTTAAGCAAGATCGCAAAACAAAAATTGAATTATTAACCTGAATTTAATAATTTAGAAAATAAAATTACTACTAATAGTTGTAAAAAATAATAATGATTCATAATAAAATAAAATTCATCATAAAAATTTAAGAATTAATAAAAATTATGTAAAAAAACACTTATCCTATCAAAAAAGATAGTCATTGGCCATATTAACATAGTTATTGTCTAACAGTTTGACAGTGATTGGCCTCTATCCATGCAAGAATGAGTACATAATTAAATAGTGACAAAGACATTATTTGGCATCAAAAAACTAAAATTATTAAATTAATATATATTTTATTACATATATTTAACATAAGAGATAAACATTATTATTAATTGTATATTAATTATTATATATTAATTATAATATAAACAAGAGAAACAAATTTTGTTTAACAAGTATTATTTTTAACTAGACGAACTTTTTTTGGAAATATTTCATTTTTCAAAATTTTTGGTTTTAAAATTGCCTGATCTTTTTTTTTCTTTGTTCTTTTTGGTTTTTCATCAGTATTTTCTTTGTCAATTTTTTCTTTTAACTTTTTGTGACATCATTTTTTTTTCCTGTTGTTTTTGTAATCTTGCTAATTTTTTTTGTTCTTTTAATTTTTTAGCAAGTTTTTTCTTTTCTAATATGGTTACAGCTGAAAAATATATCTTTTTAGTAATAACAAATATAACTTACTGTCTTATCTGTCACTCGATGTAAGAGGCCAATAACTGTCACATAGTTTCCATAACCACAAAACAATAATTGGCCGAATGGCCAATTACTGTTGTAAAACGTCAATCGTATATTAGTCGTTGGGATAACATAATTTTTAAAATATGTATGTTATTTTCACCGATATGAATTTTTTTTACAAAATTTAAACTTTATTAATGTATGTCTATTACGAAAACAAAAATTATATGTCATAAAAACATTAAAAAATTTGCAAATTGTTGGTTCCACTCTTACGGTTTTTTGATTGAATGGCGACAATTTTCAAGTATGTTACCAAAGTCATTTTAATCATTATTTATATAAATTGTAATATATAGAAAATAATTAAATATTAATTGTATTTGAAGCAGAATAATGTATTAAATATTTTTTTATTTGTAATTAAAAACATTTTAATAGTATTTCCTTTTAATCTTTAATTTTTTTAAATGTGCCCAATCATTGTAGAGTGGCTAATAACTGTACTGTTTATCCCTATACTTACAACATTATTATAGCGACACATTCATTTTTCATACTTACACGTGTTGTTTATGAAAGTTCTTTTTTTTCAAACATTTATATGAAAAGATTATAGAAATTAGTTGATTTGATTTAAATAATAACATTTATTACAATAATAAAAATAATTCGGTGTATTCACAAAATATCTTTGCTTAGGGTCAGTTTGTGGCAGCCTTCGCCTCGACCAATCTCGGTGATGTGTCGCCAAACACACGCGGTCCCAAATGTGAATTCTCTGGAAAAAACTGTTCCGATCAGTATACATGTCCCGGAATAAAGGAAAAGTGCTTCGCTTCCGGTCCTGGCAAGAATATGTTCGAGAGTACGAGCATCATCGCTCACAAGATTTACCAGGAGGCCGCGGTAAGTAACGCCATTCTTACCATTTTCATCCCCCATATCTCTTCGCTCGTTTATTCACAACATATAAAAGTATACACCAATAAAATATCATTAATCATTTCAAATGCAACGATTTTAAATGCAACGATATTCTGCGTTATGTCGAGTATTTCCGAAAGTGACTCGCTTTATCCGCTTTAAAAAGGCGAGCAAAAAAATTCGATGATTTCTTCAACTGCGGTTTTTTCCGCTATAGCTCACGTATCGCTTGTAAAGGGAATGTTAATTGAACATAAAAATCGATTAGCAATGCTATATATAGCGTGAAAATGAAGTATAATTGGAAAGCGTGAATTCTTCACAGGATTTTATGGCAGCGCAAGTTCAAGCGCTTCGACAAAAAGGTAGAAACTGAATGTATTATTGCTCGGATCGGGCTTTATTTATTTGCGCACTGCCTCCCACGTATGTGTGTATGGTTAATTACGTCTAGTGAAACTTATTAGCCGCTCAAACGAAGCCACCGACGCATCGAGATAGTAGATCAAGTGAATTAAATAACTTTATGCGCCCAATGTGATCCATTAAGAGTGATACGCTAATTATGAATGAGCGCTGCGAGACATTGGCACTGAAAGTATTGCAGCATTAACTCATTAAAGACCGCAACACTAAAATGTACAAAAGAGGGAATTTTAATTACCTAAAATAATTATTTTTTTATTTCCTAAAAATCTTAAATTAATAATTGTAGCTGTTAAATATAATTGATAATTTAATATTTTACTTACCAATTTTTCTATATGATTAATAAGAAAAATTTAATGATGGAAAGATACGAAACTGCTGGCGTCTTTTTCTTCGTTATTATTAAGTCAGCACGGTTGAGGATGAGGAGAGAAGAATCTTTTTCATAATTTTTTTTGAAATTAATTATAATAACGCATCCTTTTGTTATTTTTAAAATTATAATGATGTATTAGTATGATGTTATAGGAGAGATAAAAACAAAACTGCTTATACATTACTGAGTAAATAATTTAAAAGTTATGAAAAACAGAGATGCTTACATCTCATTAAGATTTCTTTGAAAGATTACACATTACCTAGTTATCATCAAGTTTCTCTTCACTGAATAGAAGTTGAATAATAGCAAGCTAATTGCAAATTCAATATCCAACGAGAAATAATCTCGATTGTGACGGAAAATAATATTCTTTTGCTACATAAATACAAATAAAGCTAAATAAGATGCGAGGAATCTAAATTCATCGTCTATCTATTTTCATTTCAACACAAATCAATTTTACATAATTGTATCATTATCATTATTATTATTTTTTATACAAGTTTTCCTTTCTCTTTGAATTTTTTTATATTATATTTTATGCATATAAAGTTACAAAAAGGAAACTTAATAACTACTTTTTGTATTTTTAAGAAAATTTGTTTTGTAATCTATTAATGTTGCTTGTATAATTTTTGCATATATTTAACTATGAATACTTAATTTCTCTTTTTGTTTTATTTTAATTTAGCGTTAAACTTTTCAGCTCCGTGAAATAAACCAAACAACTTTAAAATTTGACTTTAAAATGCAACTTTAAAATTTGAAATTCAGATCGCCACATATATTTTGAGTTGTAAAAATTCTCATACGTATAAGGTAGCAATAATTTATACATCCTTGCTATTACTTTTGATATACTACAGATCTGTAGTATATTTCAGTTGTACGATATACCTTAAATTGAACGCAAAAAAGGCATTTCGAGGATAGATGAAATTTATGTTATTACATCATGCTGTCATCATAAATATAAATCGATACCTCAGACAAGCGCGGTTACAATTCGATTCCAATATCAAATAATCCTCTTTTCAAGGGGCGCAAGTCAGGTTACAATTCGATTCCAATATCAAATAATTCTCTTTTCAAGGAGCGAATTTCAGGTGGAATGTAAAATAAATAGGTAGAAAACTACATTTCTGTTATCCATGGAAATAATCGGATTACTCGTGTTGGCCTAAGTTAAGCAATTAGACGCCTCTTGAAATAGAGCATCGAGTAATAAAATTAAGACAGGATACATTTATTTCGACACAAGACAAGATGAAATGCAGCAGAGGGGTTGATATTTTTCAGTGTAATCTCAATTATTAACTATGTAGAGAACTCGCAGTTGATTAGAAACGTAATCCTAGACGATCCCTTTAGAAACTATCTTTATATTTAAGAATAGACGAACCCAAATGTTCATTTTTTTTTTCTTTTTCTTTGCTATCGTGAATCACAATATTCAACCAATTAAACGTAGCCCAATTGAACGTAGTTCGCTGTCGCATTGACTAGCAGACTGGTTATCGGCTAATGTTCCTCAGCGAAACGCCCGATTCGACGCTATTTACACGTTACAGTGGCCGAGCCGTTAATAATGCTTCTCGTAGTCGTAGCTGTTGTAGTGCGCGGGCGAGACGTACTTGACAATCGGCACCGGCTTCACCGGGTGAATCGCCGGTCCCACCTTCTTCACGATGGCGTTAAACCCATTGTGATCATCCGCCGTATACTCGACGATACGCACACTTCCGTCAGGCTCGTTGACGCTGTACGAGCCATGAACGACATCGCCGTCTCGCACCTCGTGCTGCGTCTTCACATCACCGGTGTGAGGATCGTGCACTCCATAATTGAACGTGTATCTCGGATGCGACTGCAACAATACAACAACAATGCGATGTATAGCGAGAGTTTACGATAAGAAATATTCTGTCTTGTCTGGCGCAAGTCTTTAGCTACTTAATTCCTTGATCTCGCGTTACTTGAATAGGGAAGTTTTTAGGAATTTATATTTTCGGATCTGTTATGTGGTCGTACGGCTTGTATGAACTAATGGCAAACAATTTTGATTTTCTAGTCGCGGAACATGCATAGAATTGAATTTTGTAATGTGTGAACAGAAAAGCTGTCGCGCAATATTACCGTTCAAGTGCCACTACCAGACAATTAACATGGCGAGAAAGCGACAACAATAAGCGTCGCGGAAATAGACTCGACAATGAGATACGAGGAAATACTGTCGTCAGACGCCTCTTTTCAGAGACAGGAATCTAAATTAACATACGCGCCCCAGGTGGCCTGGAAACACATCTTTCCGCTCATAAAATACCGAACGTCACGAGACCAGAAACAGCTTGACACTTTTCAGGAAGCCGTGCGTGCGAGAATTTATATTAAACGCTAATTAACAAGTTGAAAGCTGTCGAAGGGAAATTTATGCAAGAGAAATACACATAGGTATTTTTCCTGAAAAATCCAGATAAGCTAGTTGCAATAATTCCGTTGTAATCAAATTCATTCTTAAAAAAACTTGTAGAAAGTTTTGAAGAATCTTTCAAAGAAATCTCTTGAAAGATGCACGAAACATCGTGGGATTTTGACGAAAATCGTTGCATGGTTTCGCGCGTACAATAACCGAGTATCAAAGTATGAATATCAATGCAGCGCTTGTGAAAGCATAAAAGAGAAGTACTCACGTAGTAGTCATGCTCCTGCTCGACGTGTTTATAGTCGTGCAATTCGTGGTCCAGGGATGCATCCACGTGCAAGGGCGCAGCGGACACCGAGTGCACCGGGACGGCGACTGTCGGCAGAACTTTGTATGCAGTGGATCCTACGTATTCATCGGCGATATCGCTGTAATCGCTGTAGGAGAGGCCATGGCCGTTGTAACCGCTGAGAACAACCGCGTTAGCGCACGCCAACGCGGCGCAGAGGATAGACACCGTCTGAAAGTCGCAATACGCGATCGTAAATTTCTTCTGTGAGAAAACGACATTGTTAACAAAGTTACGCCAAGTTGTGTCAAGGATCCTACAGTCTGTGTCCTCAATCTTCTTTTTTTTCTCTTTTCCTTCCTCACAATAATACTTTTTCGATATTTTTCGATCGCGTCTTACGCACGGAATAAGGGTGTAACGAACACAATTGAATCCCTCTCTGTGCACTATAGGCGATTTTCATCAGTCGAATGTGAAATCCCGATTGAAGTCGGATTTGTCATCGGATTTGATTTTTCTGGGAAAGTCTCTGGGAACACGACGCTTCCCGGATTTTGATGTTTTGTTACGTCTTTGGAATATTAGGAGCCCTCGTTAACGTAAAGACCATCCTTTTCACTTTCACGCCGACCTTGTTACCCGGAGGCCAGGAGGCCTAGATCGTAAGTCAATACAACATCGCGGAAGTGGTTAAGGATCTGACTTCCTTGTTCCATCGCGATGAAAATGATACATTACGAATAAAAGGTTCATTACGCCCTCGGCAAGAATATTCATGCCTGAGAAAGCTAGCGTGAATTCTCGACACTTAAAGTAAACTGAAGAATCGAGAGGAAACGAAGAAGAGATTGAAATTCTGATACATGATTAGAAAACTGAAAATTTGAATACTAGATATGTAATAGCAAAAATTTTTTAAGCACATTATTTTAAAGATGTACATTATCAGCAACATTTAGGCCGATATTCATAATCCGGTCTTACATTTAAGATCATCTTAAGCTCTCATTCCACCAATCAATGGTTGCATTGTAGCTATTTGATTGGTTGAATAAGTTCTTAAGATGATCTTAAATGTAAGATCGGACTATGAATACCGACCTTAGTAAATTAAATGTTGCATTTAAAATTGCACAAATAGATTATTTATTAAATAAGCGAATATTCTTTTTAAATAAAAAGTTAAAGAAAAGTTTAATATTGGAAAAAATATTAATATTACAAAAAATTCTGAGGATTAGGTAGAATGCTTTACGACACTTCAAATTACACACAAAAATTTCTAAAATTATAAAAATTTTTAAATTATATAAAAATTAATTATTAAAATAAATTAATAAATTATAAAAGTTTTAGAGAAACAATAATTTAGTGTCCAATATTTAATGTAACAAGAAAATGACTTACCAAGTAATTTCATGTGAAAATTGAAATTGAAAATTCTTTTACTTATACGATCATTATAAATACTATTATGGAAATCATTTTGCTTGAGCCATTTAGTTTTATATAACTATAATATTAAAAAAGTAATTAAAAATTGTGAAATTAATTATTAAATATGTATAAATAAAAAATATCTCATTTAGCTTTATCAAAATCTATATTATTGATTTTATCTTGATATAATAACAAAAATATTTTTGATTAAAACAAACATATTTTTAATTATTGTATTATATAGTTTGTAACTCTGAGAAGAACAAATAAATTACTACTGCTATTACTATTTTTAATTAATATTTTTAATTAACTAAATTAATTTTTAATTAAAAATATTTTTAATTAAATATTTTAAATTAAAGCTTAAGGGGATGATTTTATAATGTCTTATACATCATCAATTTAGTCAAAAAAATTGCAATAATCTTTCATACTCTTTTGGCTCAAAAGAATCGAAAAAAGATAGATAAATGTCTATCTAGCTCTCGCATAATATTCGGAGCAAGATTACGAATATTCCAGCGAGCGAAAAAAGAGAGAGATATAAGGGAATCCATGATAAATGCCGTCAAAAGCAGCTCTCGAGCGTGGCCGATAGAAAAAAACGAGGCACACACACACACACACACTCGCACACAGAGATTCAACCATCCACCCGTTCATACCGCACCCCCGTGTCGCGTGGAACTTTTCTCTCTGTACCTTCAGCATGATGTGTTTCCACGTTTCCGCTTACACCACGTTTTACTATATGCGAGACCGTCGAGTCGCGAAGTCACTGATAGCATTATTCCCAGACGATGGGCTTATATTCATCTCCCACCTCACACGGTGGTTCCGTTCCGGGCAAAAGCTCTCGGCCTCGGATCCACCACTCTTCAAGTTGGTCTACCGTACCCTCTCCGGATCTTTTTGTCTGTATGTATCAGAAAACGCACACGGCGCGATCTCCACGTGGTGAAATGCGTTAATAAGGCCCATTTGTGCGAAAATCTCGAAAGGGATTCAATCATCTAATATTCGGTTCAACGAAACGTATGAAAGATTAACAACTATTGTTAATATAACGGGGAGACTAAGTACTAAAGATTAATAGCTATTGTGCAAAGGGATAGAATCTGCTCGCTTATTGAATTGAACGGGATGGATGGGATAGAGTCACTTGTTCCTCGCGCTCACGGACGTCACTCGTGCGAATCCTGAGGTTAGCCATTAAAGATGTAGCAGATTGATTCGACCGTCAGAGGCGATTATGTTGAAAGGATAGGAGAGGTAATCGCCGGCGGATAAACCTTATTTCTCGACTTGTTCGCGTTGTTAGCTGTGTGTTTAGGCATAATTCATTCCAATGAATTCCGAAACGGCGGAAGACAGTCAAGTGAACGTGAAATTGAATGGGAATCAATTTGAGAATGAATGCGAGCGTTAAATGATTCGGTATCTTTTATCGTCAATCTGATGAAAACATGTATTTGCATTTAATTATGTTAACCGCGTTATATTAAGCTTGTGCATTTCATGAATAATAATTTGCGAAGCAAAAGATTCTCTCTCAATAATATTGGCTAAAATTATAATTTACATTCAAATATTTATATTCGAAGGTCTATGTTTGGCTTGAAAAAAAAAAGAGAGAAATTCAATCCTTTTTCCTAATTTAAAAAATACAGACGTAAAAAGTATCTTTGGTATTAATGGAATGAAAGGAAAATTTTTAAGTAAACCAAATTTTATAATATATTTAACTAAACTTTTCCAGTGAGCTCCGCATAACTGTTTGCATAATAAAAATTTAAATTCGTAATTTCGCGAAAGGAATTAGAATTTTCGTCTTAAATTTGCGAAATTAATCATGTTTACTTTTTATATCCCTTTATTACTCGATTTAATTACAACTTTAAGGGTTACAGAAGGAATATCCAATTTCTTATGCATCATTGTTTCTCGGCGTATAAATTACATCATATTTTTCTCTTTTAGCGTAATAGAAGCGAACGCTCTCTCTTTCACTTCTCTGTTCAAATTAATACCATTCTTTTTTTGTGAAATTGCCTACACATTTTTTCTCCGCGACACACGCATAATTAATACAGAGAAATTTACGCCGAATTCTATTGGCCGAAATAAAACCGGAATACGTATTACAGAATACTCTGAGAAAAAGCGATGTATTCTTTGATTACGAAAAACTTGTTGCCACTTGTGTTTATTCTAACAGAATTTGTGCAATTTTTGTAAGATTTTTACGAAATTCAAGATTAATAGCTGCGTGCTTATAAGAAACGTAATAATTAGCTTTAAAATATTTTTTTATATATAGATTTTGCTCTATACGATGTTCCTTATTTAAAAACTGCGATATAGAAAAAAATTTAGAATATTATTTTTTGATGAAATAACATTCTTAAAAAGGAAATGTCCCAATTCTTGTAAGTTTCGGTCGGCAAAGGCGTGGTAGCTTCTGGTCTATTCCTCACTTACGCAATTCTCGACAAAGCCTGTTTGTTTTCGCAATGAGTAATGCTATTTCTTGCACGTAAAGTAAGGTACACATCACCATCGTTCCGTGAACGCAACTAGCTTTAAAAAAAAAAGGATCGGTCCCGCCCGAATGATTACCGGGCGACCTATCTGGATCAAGATCATAAGCGACAAAACCTTTCGATCTCAGTCCGAATTCTTTTGTTGCGCACATTTACGTAATATTAAGTCGGACGCTATTGTTCAATGTTTTCCTGAGATTGCGTGAGTCCATTATTTTCATGTGATATGTCGTCATCGAAATTTATTACTTTAATAATTGTATATATGTGTATAATGCGTTTTTATGATCGCTCGCGATGATAACGAATTGGGCTGATCGATCACCTAAAACTTCATCATTTATTCTTTTCTTAGCTTTCGCAAACTTATATTTTCGTAACAAATTTTTTTTATAAAAATAAATTTATCCAAGAAAATTATAATATATTGTATACATATATATGTATTATAATCAACTTACTAAAATACATACACGTCGAATAACAGAAAACATTACGAATTGTACTGATTGTAAGATACATACGCAAATGTCTTCTGTTACCCGATCTGCCTTGCATTTATCATGCAGGTTGGATCTATGTAATGCTATCTACACTGAGAAAAATGAGAGAAATGTCTGATGGAAAGGTAACGAACGGATATTATACCCATCACTTTAATCGGATATCTGATCGGAAAATTCCGAATTTTGAACTTTCTGATCAGATATCTGATCGGTTTCTTTTTTTTTCGATTAAAGTGATCGATATAATATCCGTTCGTTACCTTTTCACCGGTTTTTTTTTCTCAGTGTATATAATCTATGAGCTAAATCATCCGATCGTTGTCATGTTCGCTTTCGCCACCGACCGAGGCACGAAATCGCGCTCCAAATTTAGATTTTTGTACAGACGCGACACAGATGCGTCTAACTCTCTTCTAACTCTCTTCTCTTTTCTTCTTTTTATTGTTCTGACCAATGACATTGTCTGCTGGACGAATAGTTGAAGGTTACCCGCTTCCGCGGATGATTTCGTTAACCGTCGAGATATCGTCGCTTTCTTTCGAGAGGCTCCATGAACCGGGCCCGTTTCTTACGCAGTCGCTTATTACTCGACAGGACGATTGTGGCAACAGAATTTCATAAGGGAATCTGGTGCCACGCTGAGTTAAGTTCGGTCATCTACTTGGGCGACTGTCGAGAGAGCGACGATAACGACGATGACGACAATGAAGTAGATTTTCACAGATAATTTATTCTCCGAGTGGTTTACCTAATGCTCTTTCCGTACCTATGATACTTGAGGAGATAAATGAAATCACAGTCAAAATAATTCGTACAAGAAATATTTTACTAAAAATTATTTTCTACCTAGATAATTTTGTGATAAAATAAAAAAGAAAATTTCACATAAAATATAAATTAATATATGAAATATGTTACATATAATCTGTGGTTTTTTACAAAAAATTTATTATCTTTAACGATCTACACAATCTTAATTTTATTCTCTTATGTCGTAATATATTTTCCATTTCCGATTCATTTCGAAAGAGCAAAAACTAGTATGCAAGAAACGACGATGGAACCTCGATGAGATCAATCCGCTTATCCCTGGTCGCGTAATATGTGCCAGCATCCGCTCGTTAATCACAAGTGAGTGAATTATGCAATCGTGTCCTTTGTGGACTCCAATTTAGATGACAAAATGGGGCATGATCATTGACACGTAACAAGAGAGATAGACTTGTCTAAGGGTCGTAACGATAAACAGATATATTGCCATGATCCTTCCTCAGCCTCTGTAATTCAAGATATTATTTGTCTGTTCACAAGAAGCACTTGTGGAAAAATTTTTTTGTAAAAAGACTATCTTCAAACTTTATAGATTTACTGCGTCAATAGATTCAGCAAATAATTTGACTACTCAATCTTCATTTATGTGAAGTTTTATTCTTACGCAAAAAAACGTGTTTGCGAATCAGTTAAAAATTTATATTTACATTTTTGCAAACGTATGTCAAGATTTTCACCGTAATAAACAAATCCAAAATGGTGTTATATGAATACGTGCGTTTTTCAGGTTTCAGTTCAGCTGCGCAAATATATATTATATATATATGTACATAGGATTAGTAAAATCTATCTATTTCTTTTTTTCACTGTCAGTCATGCAATTCAATTTCTGCTTTTGCAATTGGCAGGATATCACAAAAAATGAAAAAATACGTTTATAGAAGAAAATTTTTAAAGTTTCTATTAAAATATAAAATGTGAAACTAGATCTACAGAAGAAAATTTTTAAAACGTCTATTAAAGCAGAAAATGTAACTTTTTGTGACACTGTGCACGAGCAAAACTGAAACATTGTAAAACATGAAATGTTGTCCTTTTTAGCTTTATATTTAATCAAAATTTGTAACACATGCATAATATTAAATTATTACATAATATTAAATTAACTTGATATTTAGTTTTATATTTAATCAAAATTTGTAACACATAATGCATAATATTAAATTATTACATAATATTATATTATTAAATTAACTTGATATTAAATATCATGTAATATCTTTATTTTTCACTCTACTTTTTTCTCCACTTCTTTCTAACAGAAATTTGACAAATGTCATTTTTACATGAATAGATAGAAGATTGTAGCAATATATTTCCATTTTCTCGTTAATATTCAATCGTAGGAATTTTTGGGCAAATGCCACACATGATTGTGATTATTTATCTCCCTCAAATTCTCTCTCAATTCTTTAGGAAAAAGAATAGAATCACGTTCGTCACGCGACAGTCCTGCGACAGCAAATATGTTCTTGGAAATATTCGTCTCTTCGAAAGATAGATTTTTTAGTGAGTCTATTTTGTCATCGGTAAAGTCTAACATTCCATTCCACGACCTGGAAGAGATCTACAAACCGTCTCTGTTACGATTCTAATAACCGTGAAGTCGTGAAAGGTTTATTCGTGACCGTAATGCCAAAGAGCTCGGCAGATACACTCGATGATACGTGAATAAATGTACTGTAGACTGTAATGGAGTGAATGGCACCCTTATTATGTGCCTTATTATGTATATAATGGCAACTTGGAGAAATATAGCGCAATATAAAATTGAGAAACGTCGTATTGACAGAGACTTTCTATCAAATTAAGTCCCAGAGTTCGTTAAATTTAAGATTAGGCTCAGGGTTGAGCCTGTCGGTTAAAGCATTAAGTTCTTTTATACAACACATGGATTGTCTTGAGAGATAAAATAAGAAAAG